GAAATAAGTGGTAATCTGATGGTGCAAGGTCAGGGCTATATAGAGCATGCGACATTACTTCCTAACCAAGCTCAAATAATTTTATACGAGTTACCAAAATTGTGTAAGACCTTGCATTGTCTTGATGGAACACGATTCCTTTTGCCAAGTCAGTCGGTCTTTTTTCTTTGATTGCTTCATTTAGTTTCTTAAGTTGTTTACAGTAAACATGATAGCATGATATTTTTTTATGAAATTCGGCCATTTTTCATTGCGTTTGAGACGCATATCGCAAATATTGATTCTTTGTGTTAAGTGAATATCTTTCAAAAATTCAGTAGGTTTACCAGAACGTCAACTTTGAGAAAAACAGATTGTTTATACCAATTTGGATACATGAGTTTACATATCTCTTTGTGAGCCTTAGCAACTTACTTGCCTTTACGGAAATAAGAAAGTAAAATGTTCGTGTTTGCACTACATGTTAAAATTACGCTAATCCCACAGTTTTAAAGAAAATTACGCGCAATTTGTTCTAAAGTTGACTGTGACATCTGTCAAATATTAAAAGGAAACAATCAGAGTTAGGAGTTCCTCAAGGCAATTTTAACGCTATCTATTTGTGAAAGTTACCTTTTTGCCAACACACACAATAGAATTGTTATTATGATAATAACAGGTCTTTGCATTCCTATGATTGTCACAAGGTACACTTGGTTCTCTTTTTATGCGGTAGATACGTTCCACAGGAAAACGCATAAAAATAAATCGCACAAAAAAGGACTAGACAGACGTATAAAAATAAAGGATACGTTCCATAATTTATTAAAACCGCATAAAACTAAATCAATGAGTTACAATATACCGAAAATCGCATAAAAAAGGGTTTATTAAATTTCAGAAAAATAATTAGTCTTACTATCTTATTTCTTTCTGAAATGTTTATTCATAATTTTATAAAAACGTTAACAATCATAGACAAGTTTATTAAATTTCAGAAAAATATAATATTATCATATTCCTTCTAAATTTATACGGAAAAATTTTACAAAAAAAATACAGAATTTTTTTATGAAAGTTAATCTTTCTTCACATTTTTTTCTTTAGAATTATCATCGCTATATGAGAGTGTTCGGCATAATTTGCGAAATAGTTCGAAATCACTTTGAATAATGATTTCCCTTTGACAATATAATCAGTGATTAAACTTTGCGATGGCTTTGCTAGTTTTTTGTACAATTCCTGATATCCAGAAATGAAATTCTGATGCTCGCGTTGAAACTTGAATGCTCGTTCAATTTGTGTCAAAACGTGACAAAATGGTCTAAAATAGTTATTTAAAAAAAATGCAACCGCATAAAAAGACCGAGTGTATTACTTATTTTTTTTGTAAAAAAGCAGTAGAAAATTGAAATTGTTAGAAATTATTTTGCGAAATTTGAAATATTTGAATAAGTAAATCGATTAGTAATATTATTATCAAAGATTTTTAGAAAAAAAAAGATTTTTTCTATAATTTATAGACAAATTATTTAAATATTTCAAAGATAATTTTTCAAGAGGTACTCGAATTCAAATTAATTCATCTCTTTTTTTATATAAATTAGAAAGTTGGAATAAATGAAAGAATTCCATTTGATTAATTCAGGAAATATGGAATTGTTAAATAAGTAAAGCAATTAGTAAATTAATATCATAGATCTCGGAAAAAAAAAGCAAATGCCAAAGAAATATTTTAACGAAATTTTTTCAATTTTTTTTGTAAGATTATAATCTTACAAAAAAAATACTTTCAAAGGTCTATAATTTTTTATTTAAATTGTCTAATTATAAACTACAAACAATCTAGATGATTTTGTTTAAAATGTGACATTATCAGGACTAAAACACTTAAAACAAGAAAGCAAATAAAGGTGATTCTTTTGATTTATTTACTATTTTAAATGTGACATTATCAGGACTTTAACTAGGAACAGTTAGGTTGTCGCGGCCGACCAATTTATTGTAATCTTTTGTATAACTAATATGTATATTTGTTGGGTCTACCACTTTACTTTTAATTATTACAAATCATATTTAACGTTTCCATCAAATATACAAACGGATACTTGTACGTGATTATTTAGAATAGCTTGTGGAATATTCCGATCGACGGTTACACATTAAATCGTATAGTTGCGTCTATTTGTATCACCACTTAACAGCCTTCTTCAGCCCCTAAATATTTGGGAAGGATCATAAAACTTAGATAAAGAAATGGTTGTATATCCACACATTAAATGAACACATTTTTATATTATATAATTTAGTCCTAGTCAGGGGATCGAACTGAGAGGAAGTCTTAGTAAGAGGGTCCAACGAAGAGCACTTATTTTATAAATACTAACTTAAGAGGAGAATGTAACTCTTAGTAATAATCCCTGAGATCAACTATTGTATTGTTGACTTCTCAATAAAAACTCCGATGTATACAATAAAGTTAATTTAATATTCATAAACCCCTCTAAGACTGCGCAACGATGTAACTACGAGATAATCTACGGTGTCCAAGGATTGCTTAATACCGGGACACGACAAGGTATATAAAAAATAATGTTAATATTATCACCTTTTTGTAAAATAGAAGATTTATTTATTTATAATGTGTGTATAAATTAGGTTAAACAATAATATTATTTATATTGAACACTATTTGTTTATTCTTTTTCTAGTATTAATTATCAATGAGCAATTCGATTATATTTATTTTTAATTAAAGATATTCAGTGCATGTGCTTTAGTTATAAATAACATATCGGGTTGCGGCGATCTTGTTTTTACGTTAGTTGCTAGCTGTATCATGTTTGAATTCGTTGCAAATCTCGTATTGTTTCTTGCAGTTGTTTTCATACAAGATGTAAAGTGGTTCTGCTTTAGCAAAGTCACCTCGAAGTTTATTAAACTTCTCGATTTCCGCAACCAGTTTTTATACAATTTATTTTATTTCTTTTGTGTATTTTATTGCAATACATACAAATAATTAGTTTAAATGTGTATTTTTTACAATTTTAATCTTGTAAAATGATTAGACAGCAAATGTCTATAAATTAACAAATTTCTGCTACTTAAAATAATGAAAAATTCAGCTAAATTTTCAAGGTTTGTTTAAAAAAAAGAACATTTTCAGCATATTTTGATATTTTATCAAAAAATTGGTTTGCAAAATTTTGTTTTGATAATTTCAATAATAATTTTTTATTAATTTACATCATGTTTGTGTGAAATAAATAAAATCATCGAGGAAACTATATTAACTTGAGCTTAATTTAATGTTTACAGATAACTTTTAACTAAAAATTTATGTAATAAAAAGAAGTTTATTGGATTTTTTTGGTTTGTAGTAATAGTAATCGAAAATTAATTAATGTACTTGTATATATCCAATTAAAGTGCATTTACTGAAGTAATTCCAATCGGATCGACCTATTTCCGTTGAATGTCAAGAGCTATTTTTAAAAATTCAATGTAAATTACCAAAGAGGTAAAGAGGAAAAAAAAAGTGATCTGTAAATATAATTTCGATGTTGGTTTTCCAGAGGGAATGTTGAAAGTGTCTCTTTAATATGTATCATCGATGGGAGAGAACCTCCTTCATATTGATCTTCAATTGAGCCTTGAAATTTTAGTACATACCTCACGTACGTATTACACCATGCTGCGTATAGAGTAACTTCATACATATACGAGAGGATTCATGAATGCGTGAAAATCTAACATAAAAATTGCGTTTTCTTGGGAGGAAAGAAATAATATTTAGTTTATAATTAATTATGTTTTAAATATAAATTGCATTGTGCATTATCGTTTGTAAACACTGCAGTTTATGACTTTATCACGTAATTAAGTTGTAGTAATTTCGAGTATCTACGATTTTCTCGTATAAATATTTATTAGTTTCATGTCTCATGCATTTTGTTGCGATCGCATTTCTAACCGTAAACGCAGCACGATTTAGATTAATTATATGTTTTTTGATATTGGACGTAACTTAACTGAATGCCAACAAACCTTAACTGACTAAACGTAATCTCAATTAATCTAACTTGAACTAATTCAACCAAACATAATCTCAAATATTTTAAGTTTAAATACATATTTATTGATACCTAATGTAACATTTCCTACTTTCATAAGATGACATATAGATGGCGTCTCTATCGACAAATACATATGATTTTCAGGAAGTACCAACCTTCAGACGACGCCTGTCAATAGTTCATGGCAATCTGACCTTTAGTTCAGAAGTTACAGTGGACGCTACTTTTGTAATTTTCAAAATAATAAAATATTGCTTTTTGATGGGAAAAATTCTGTTTAAGCAAAGCAATGGATTGATAAGTGTTATGGGACAATTGCAATTGTTGCAGAAAACATAAAAAAAATGGCTTTGGCCGATCGTAAATGGAACTTGCGTGAGATAGCTGACACCCTGATATCAGAATGCAGTGAATTCACCATTTTGCATGAACATTTGATCATGAGAAAGCTCTGTTCGAAATGGGTACCGCGTTTGCTCACAGTGGACTAAAAACAACAACGAGTTGATGATTCCGAGTGCTGTTTGGAGCTGTTCAAGCGAAGTAAAAAGGATTTTTTCATGCGGTATGTAACAATGGACGAAACCTGGATCTACCACTACACTCTACAGTTAAATGCGTCGTTAGCGCATGGAATATTATTTATTGATTACTTTGAGAAAAGAAAAACCATCAATAGCGAATATTATATGGCGTTATTGATGCGTTTGAAGGAAGAAATTGCGAAAAAACGACCACAAATGAAGAAGAAAAAAGTGCTCTTTCACCAAGACAATGCACGTCGATCAAAACGATGGCAAAAAATGCACAAATTCTACTTTGAATTCTGATCTGACTCTCAGTGAATACTATATGTTTCTTAAAAAGAATGCTCAAGGCAAAGAGATTTTGCTCCAATAAAGAAGTGATTCCCGAAACTGAAGCGTCTTTTGAGGCCAAAGATAAATCGATCTACAAGAAAGGTATGGAAATATTAGAGAAGCGTTGGAATGAATGTATCATTCTTGAAGGAGACTATGTTGATGATCAACAAAGTCGAATATTGCTCAAAAGTTGTTATTTTATTATTCATAGCAAACATTATCTCAACTATGCTAAGTTTAAGTTTCTATTTATTAAAATTACTTAAAATCTATACGCGAATTTATATATTCCCTTAAAACCATTAGAGTTATCACTATTGTAATCTCCTTCTTAACAATTGACTAGTGCACATAATCTGAAATGTGACTTCAAGCGTCTTTAGAAAAAAATATGATTCGGATCGAATAAATTGTTTCATTTCTTGAAGATAGAAGAAAACAAAGTAGATTTTACACTTTGATACTTTTCTATTAATGGATAGCCAAAAATACCAATAATGCAATAACTAAGAAATATTCTGTACACACACAGGAGTAGCTTTAACTAAAAACTGTGCAAAAGTGATTTGCTTAGATTAAAATTCAAGATTTCAACCTTAAAGACCAAGCAGAGTGTCTGCTAATAATAATGATATATTCATAATGATATATATCATATTAATTAATTGATTAAAATGATATACACATATTAATAGAAAACAATATCGATATATAAAAGTTTTGCTTTTGAACGTTAGTGAAAAATTGGCACGAACTTTCTAGTCGACCCAATTATATTTAATTAAATCTTAAATGGTTTGAAATGTTATAGTCATTCAGTTGTTAAGCTCTTATCGATTAGATTTGGATCAAAATATCGTGGCATTGAGGTATATCTCGGTCTCAACTGCTGATTACTTTTGAAGATATTTTCAATATTGAGATACTGAAGGTGAATGAAGTAGTTCAATTGTAATCTTTTTTTTTCCATTATTTTAGGAACAATTATTAAGTAGCACTTATTGGAGATTTATAAACATAAAATTTAATTAAATTGATGATCGATATTCGATTGGGTTCGTTATTTCTGACTTCAAATATTTTCATGATTAAAACTATGTCTATGATTATATTTTCTGTTGTTACAAATTTAAATTAACTGTTTTTAGAAGATAATTGAAAAAATTGTTAATTAACTCAGTGTTGTGACTTAAATATCAAGTATAAATACAATAATATATGTCATATTGAAAGGTTTTAATATATTTTTAGTTTAAATCGTTATGAAAATCCAAGTATATTTCGAAGCAGTAGCATTTCTCTTTTAACTCCTCATTAATTAATTTTTTTTGTAAAATACAAGTTAGTGTTTTATATTTATGTCGTTATTAATCTACGACTAATTTCTATTATTTATAAGTATTTTCGAAGACTTTTTTGAATTACATGTACATTGATTTTATTTATTTTGTTACAATTTCATCAATTTTATATTAAATTTTTTTTTTCTACAAATAAGGTAGAACATGTCTGTTGCTATTTGACGTAATCTAGCTAAATGACAACTAACGTCAACAAACTTAACCTAACCCAACTTAAAAATGATGCGGAATTTGAAAGTATTTGACATCTTGAATAGGTAATTTCTATATAAAGCACACATTAATTAATATCTAAAATAAACGGATCTAACCTACATATTTCTTGATATTTGACATTCTAACTAAATGTCAATTAACCTAACCTTAAAGGACTTCATCTAAACAGACTTGCATGTATTTGACAGCTTGAATAGGTGCTTGGGATAAGAAGCACATATTTGTTGATGTTAGTAATCAATTAGTACCATATTATTAGTAACATCCAAATTGGTCATTTGCAATTTGTCGTTATTATCTATGACTAATTTCAATCTGTTTTCAGTATTTTCAAAGACTTGTTGGAATTAAAACAAATTCGGTTATTTGATTTTATATTTAAGGTTTCTGGAATTTGTTACAATTTGACCAATTTTCTATTAAATTACATTTATTTTTTTCTACAAGTATATTTTTTTTTATTTGTAACTTGTTTCGATATTAAACGATATGGAGTTATCTCCTTTGTTTAATTTATCAAATAAGTCCGTTTTTCTTTATGAGCAACAGTTGAAGCGAACAATGGGTAAATGCTTATTCAATTCAAATTCATTTGAAACGCGTGGTTGAGATTGGCAACACAATGCGGTAACAAATGATTTCTTCCTGCGGAGGTGAGAATGGCCGAGGAGTTGGTGGATGGATATTGAAGTCTGCACGATGAAAATGCATATTCAATAGACTATTTATTCATTGGTGTATTTCGTGGAATGGAAACGTGGCTTATTGAATTGTACGTTTTTTTGCGATGGTATTTGTTGCACAAGCAAACATATAACAATGTTTGCATTTCGAAGAAGTTGAGCATTGGTGGTTCGTGCGCGATAAGTTGGGAAAGCCATAAAAGATATTAATTAGCCAATGAAGCACGGTTAAAGCTCATGTCTCGTGGTATTTGAAATTGTTGAAAGAATGTACATTTTTTTTTGTAAATTAATTATTACAGTATTGAAAGGGATATTTTCTTTATACTATATATTTATAATGTAATTAATAAAATCAATCATAAACTTGATTATAGCTTCAACTATTGGCTAAAGGTGATTACATAACACGCGATATCTGACGAATGACGTTTTATATGTATTGTAGCCATCTATATACAAAACGCATCGATAATAATAAATTTAGATGCATTAATGTAGTTCATCAAGTGACATTTAAGTACCTATTTGTGTCATGTGTACCAACGTAAATCTAATACTAAGCTTTTGTGTTCCGATATTTGACATAATCTAACCAAATGTGAATTAACATAACCTTAACCTAACTCGACTTAAAAATGACGCAGTATTTGCACGAATTTGACAACTTGAATTGGTACATGAGATATGAAACACCCATTTCTTGATGTTTATCATCAATTGATCTAACCTAATCCTAGCTCCAGCATATCTCGTGTTATTAGACGTAAATTAACCAAATGTCAATTAACCTAATCTCAATTAACTTAACCCAACTCAACTTAAAAATGATGTGGAATTTGTACGAACTTGAGAACTTGAATAGGTACTTGCACACATTTGTTGATATCTAATATCTGATCTAACCTAAGCTTAAGCTGGTATTTGACGTAACGTAACGAAATGTCAACTAACTTAACTGTAACAGACTTATATAGTTGACATACATTTGACAAATTGAATAGGTACTATCGATGGGAATACAAAAATTAAAGTGTCTATAAACTACGCGTAAATTATTAAGTAACAAATTAAGTCATTCATTTTGGACAAGTGCACTTGGTTCGAGGTTCAACTACCTATTGTTCTTATTTATAGTAAAATATGCAAATATAAAATGAACAAGTGTACAAACTTAAATGATATATTATTTTATATAGTAGTTAGTTATTTAGTTTAATTACCAGGTATTGGTATAACTGAATTTAACTGTAAGCAACTTGAATTTACACAGTACAACGCAGAATATTAATTCGAACTTTTTTTTTAATTGTTATTGGATCAATGCGGAAACGAGTGACCGCTGCTTTTTCATTTGTTTGTTTTTTTTTCATTTCTTTCTGAAAAGCGATGCAACGGATAAATGTTTGCATCGATTGCAGAGTTTTCAATTTTAACCGTGACCCAGACCTGTAATATCGATACGTTTATACGTAAATGTGGAATAATTCCAATGAAATGTTATTATCAAAATAAACTAAAAAGAGGAGAAGAATAATATCGTGAGTCAACAACGCGCACGGAATTACACACACGAAAGTGCTTTTCACATCGATTACCATTTCTGTGTCATGTATTATTTTGTTGTTATTACTGTATTAAATAATACGAAATTCCCGCGACATTCTGAAGGTATGTAATCGTGTATAATTAGTGGATGAATCATGGTTCCCACAGATCATAAGAATGCTTTCTAGAACACCGAATAAATCATCGATTCTTACTTTTACTTTCTTTGGTGTTTGAATTTTAGTTTATAACACGTTTTGCATACATATATAATTTTAATATGAAAAGAAGGGTTTATTCAATTTCCATTAAGCGTTTTGTTTTTGCTTTTACAATTGATCCATGCACGGTATACAAAAATACCGGTTATTATCAGTTTATATTTAGAAAAACATATGATAACAAGTTGTTTGTTTGTTGATTTTGTAAAATATGTACTGCTTTTGCGGAAAGCTTTGAAAGATGTCCAAAATTTAAGAGTAGTATTATTATCTCGAAAAGTCGTAGTGATTGAAATGATCACTAACGCTTTTTGATCCATTCCATAAACTTTTATTTGTGTCAGTGTGTTTGTCGACTTACAATCTGAGTAAGATTTTAGTTAGGTTAGGTAACATAATTACAATTTGCAAAATCGAGTCGAATCTAACCTTAACCGGTGGCAATCGAAATCCGTACATTCGAAATCCCGACAAACATTGTCGGGAATTTAATTGTCGTCATTTCGATATAGACTCCTATGGTACATTGGTATACTACAGAAGATTTTAGATGCATCACATTTTTTAAAAATTTTAAATCGATATTTACATTATTTTCCAAAGAAGTTCAATAAATGTACATTTGAAAATTCAAATATCGTAATTGTAAGTCTCCCTGAAAAGTTTAACTATAAGTTTAAGTATGTGCTAAGGTTAGAAAATGCTGAATTATCCAAACTTAAGATATTTTAATCGAACCCAATTTAAACTAATTTTACATGATCTAAATCAGCGGTCAGCGGTCGTTTTAACCATTACCTCAAAATATTTTTGCGTAAGTCGATAGTACCCCCCCCATTCTGAAAAGAAAACAATCAATGTAAATTTTAAATAAACATTATTTATTGAATTAATTTACATTTACATATTTATAAAAAAAGTTACATGAAAATAGTAAGTATGTAATAGACAAACAAAGTAAAATTCTTAAATTGGAACAAACAAAAATTAATTGAAAACTTTCCCCCTTCAGGTTTTGGAAACATGATGTTGCTTCATGTTTGATATAATTACTTCAAAATTGGGACTTTTTGATGTAAGAGCAATTGTTCACAAAGGTAGGTTGTAGGTTGCTTTGGTCTCAAATTGACCAATTCAGTATTTGATTGAAGTTCAAGAATTGCCTCTACCAAACCTGGTGGTTCTTCTGGTATGTTAGTAATTTCACATTTAAAAGGATCTACAACCCAATTCACAGTTTGTAAGATGAAATTAGAAATTTTTTTACCCCATTTGGGGTAATTTACACCGGTTCCCCGACCACTGATCTAAATCAAAGATCCCAGAGTGGGCGCTGCAGCGATCCAGGAGGGCGGTGATGACCACATGTGCATTTGCATTTAATACATATATATTTCTGTTTAATTGCTATCAAAAATAATAATTTTCAGCGAGCGCTGAGTAATATTTTTGCTAATCTAAATCAACTAAGCCGAGGTATCATGTGTTATGTACATTTAAAGATTTTAAAATTATCGTTGTAAATAAGAAATATATGAGTGTTTGTTAACTAAGCAACGATAAACTAATATAACATAACATAACTTAAAGAAATTTAACTAAAACCAAACCTAAAGCAATCTGATAGAACGTAATCCAATTTAAATCAACCAGATATAATATGATATTCTATTTCTAGTGATTTTTCTTTAAATCGTTACACATTCTGCAAATTTCTTATGTTAACTGTAATATGGACAGTTTTTGGTTAAGATTATATACTTAACCTTAACCAACCTAACCTAAAACAGTTGAAACGCACAGAGCTTGCCAACTTGAACCCTTCATTGCCGTCTTAATTTATTCTAAGATTTCGGGTATTGCGAACATTCTGCCTTTAAATCTCTTTATATGATATTTCAGAAAAATTGAGATTTAAATAAACGGTTTCGTTTGCTGCTCATTCAATTCTACTCACGACTCTAGATATTGACGAACTAGTTGCGAACGGAAATGTAGAATTAATTTGAGTTTTATTTTCAATTGCTCGTCGATCGTTCAACGATATGGAATAGAAATTGTTATGCGCGAGAGGCGAGCGCGGCATTAAATTAAATGTATAAATTCGTGTTGGACTTGTACGCATGCATTAATTACAAAAAGGAAAACGTATTTATGGACTGAAGCGCATTAATTATTAATGCGTTCGTTCATAAAAAAATGCGCGTAACATGCTCGACGTGTTGTGTGAATCCAAGAAACAAATGCAACTCGAAAATCAGAAACAAAGAAATACGTAATGACATCTGCCATATACACGCACCTATGCGTATCAATGCCAATTTCGAAGCGAAAGTTTAACTGCTTTCTATTTATGTCGATTCCCATTATATTTGCATTTGCCTCTCAATGAAAATCGCAAATTTGATTTTATTTTTAACGAACGAGATAATGGATGGACGAAAAATGCAATAAATTTCATTAATTATGTTGTCAATTGTATTGTTTGTATAAATTTATTTTTATTATTTATGTCAAATATTTATTTACGGTTTATTGAATCACCAATTGAATATTAATAAAAAATTGTACGAGGTTTACAATTAATAGATTAGTAATTAGAAACTTGTACAAATATTTGTCGTCTGTATCGTTTGACTTGTTTAAGTAGAAGTACAACTTGGTTGAACGCTACTTTATATTGTATGTAACGCATAGTGTGCAGCCTCTTTTATAATTTAGTTTGATATATCTAAAATTTACACGTACAATAATTGTTCCACACGTTTTATGGCCTTGTATAAAAGAGGCAATGCATTGTAATAAGCAACTAGATATTATTATTTAATAATCACATTTATAATTAAAATGTGTGTAACCTCTATATCGCCGTTTCTCAACCTTTGGGCCGCGCGACCCAACATTTTTGTTTGTAGTTGTACTGCAATCCAACTGTTTATAACATTTTTTGACGTAAGATGACAGATGTCATTTTGCGAACACATAAGTTGAGATTCATTTAATAATGAAAGTAATTACTCTTTTTTATTGAACATTTTGTTACTGCTTTATTGATGAATGTATGTCTAGGTTCATAAAAAAAAAATTGTGTTGTAATACAAAGGATTTGTAGTTTGCAGTATTTTTTTTAAAGTTGAATGTGTAAAATGTAATTTCTGCTGTTCTTGGAAAACAGAAGAAGCGAGACGACGTTGGCAGTACGTGCATAAGCAGGAAGTGATTGACACCAGCACCTTTATGGATGAACCACTTATGGTCTAGTATGGTTGAGTGAACTTCATCTTAACTTGACGTGGCTCCGACCGCTACAAGGAGACAAGATATCAGAATGAAGAGCGAATTCGCTCTTATGTATTTTTTCCATTTAAAAATACGGAATTGTGCATCCATTTAATAACTACATTTTTATATTTATAACATTTAAACTATTAATATATATATATATTGTATGATTTTACCTGTACACAGAAGTATTTATTTTACTTTTTACGAAAATATGTATAAAAACAATTAATCTAAATAATACAGTATGCCATTAACGAAACGTTACTATTTTGTGTTTCATTTTGTATGTGTTGTGGTTATATTAAATTTTATTTGACAATTATTATTTCCGTATTAATTTACATGTCGGTGTATAAATTAGACTTCAAAACATCTGCTTATATGTAACTGTAACATCCACTATACATAAGTTATATAACTTATGTATAATTGATATTAGTAAATGCAGTTTTGTAAAAATAGTAGATTTAAACGTCATGCAAATGTGTGAACAATTGACTGTCATGAAAGAAGTGTTATCGTATTGTTTATGACTACTGTTGATTGATATTGTATTTTGTTTTGTTTCCAGTATAAACCAAATAAACAGTCTAGAGCATTTCGGTTTATGTGAACGGCTGGAGGAGCTCTACATCCGTCAGAACGAGATCCAGGACCTGAATCAGGTAGTCTATCTGCAGAGTTTGCCGAATTTGAAGAACCTGTGGCTCGGGGAGAATCCATGTGCAAGCACTGAAGGGTATTTTGCAGACGATTGAATTGTAGTAAATATTTTCTATTATAATTTTCATTATTTTCAGTTATCGTTTTTCTGTTCTACGGGCGCTGCCGCAACTCCAGAAATTAGACAATTTGGCTGTGACTCCGGAGGAGTTGCGCGAAGCCCAGCGAAAAGGAAAGGCGCTCCATCATCCCGATGATCCGCAAGAGAGCGAACAGGAGGAGGACGTTTACGTTCCACAGAACCAATACAGGTACCAGGAACAGTACCAGCAGGAACCGGAATACAGTCCCCAAAGGAGTCCCTCCAGACAGGAAGTGAGTTCGCAGCTAAACTTCTTCACCGTTCAAATTACACGATCAATTGTATATTTCGCTGCGTCCACACTGTGCGTTAAATGAGACATACATTTGTCAATTTCAGGTGTACCAATCTAGTGTTTTGGAGTATTGTTTTTGGTTGTCATGAATTACGGCTGTCATATCAAATTTGCTTCTCTTTTATCTTAAATTTCTGATACGAAAGTGGCGAGTTTGAAATTTAGACCAAATAAACAAAATCCAAATCGATAAGCTCCGAAATGATGACAAAAAAAGTATTATTATTACGTCCATAAAATAATGAATTATATTTCTCTAATTCAATTTTTGATGTAATTATATAGTTTTCTATAAAATTTGAAAATTGGTACACCTGAGAACCATTGCCGAATAGTATGGATGCAGGCAACATTACGTTCATATTAGCTAAGACAAGCACAGTTTTGCTTGATTTATTTTTTGTGTTTGTTTATTTTTTGTTTTCTTTTTGTTAACTTTGAGCATTTCGTATTAACCAACGCACATTAATCACTGTTTAACCAGACTGAGTATGAAAATGACGAAGAAGAGTATTATAATAACATTAGAGAGGATCCACCCGAGGACGATCATCTGCCGGAATACTCACCACCAAGACAGGTAACTTCAACAACTCAAACTGACCTCAAATAGCTTTACATATTTATTAAATCTATTAACTTTCATTTTGCAAGAACACTTAATTACGGGTTTCTCTTCATCGTTGCATTGTTTAGATGAGCCCACCCAGAAGACAGCAGGCCGAGGTTCCTGCATCAAAGAGGAGCTACTCGCCCGAGCAAGAATACTCGGAGCGCAGGAGAAGCAGCTACGATCAGATGTCCCCAAAGCAGTTGCCCCAGCAGTATTACGACGTACGTATATATTTCATTTACTATTCGCCTTCAGCAATGAACGTGTGATATTTAGTTCTGCTAGGATTTTAGAATGTGCTAGGTAATTTCCATTGTATGCAGATAAAAGACTACTTTTTTTTCATTTATTCTCTATATTTTTTAAAAGCATTAGTAGAACTAGATATGATGCAGTTTGCTGGAAACCACGATCTGTTTTTTTTGCGATATGTCAGTTGCCATGTAGATATAACAATGTTTCATCAGTCTCATTATGCATAACAGCGATCTCCGGTGTATACTAATAGCGAGGAAAGCGCTCCACCGCAAGAAAATAATTACAGAGAAACTAGAATGGTCACAAGCCAGTCTACTAACAACATCAAGGTTCGTCCAGTTACTACTATATTCCTTGTCTTTTGTCTTTTTTTTTCCTTTTATCTTCCTCACTTCATTTGCAATGTCGATTTTGTCGATTTCGTTTCGTTATTTATTTTATTTAACGCAGTATTGACTCTCGAACTAATTATTATTAATCGCATTTTAATGAACCCTCCAACCGCACACGTTTTTTAAATTATTAATTGTTAATAGAAATATTGTATTCAATTACAACTATTAATTGGTTTTACCAATTTATTAATTTCAATTTCTTTGCAATAAACTTTGCAATCACTTTCAATTTGATATTTTTTACACATTTCTTTGGTATAAAACAAATTAATTTATTTCATAACATTATTTTTTTTTGCAATAATAACAACATTTTGTTTGAATTAGTATTATACGTATTATAAATGAGTATTATATTTAAAATAAAACTAGATTCAATTTACCTTAAGATTTTCTACGTGTCATGCGGAAGGAAGGTTAATTTTAAATGTAATTTCGTGAATTAAACAGCCTCTGCTGTTTGCAACAAATTTCTTCAATTTGTATTAGTTATTTCCGTATTTTTCAGGAGTATACGAACGGGGAGAGGTACTCTCATGCTCCAAACTCTTATCGTACAGAAGGCAGCGAGATTTCCAGTCGACAGGATGGACCAGTTCGCAGTTCCAGTCAACATAACTGCAATTTAGCACATAGACCTCCGTTCTCAAGGAGACCAGTGACGAGGGTAAATATTTTGAATCAATTCTTAAACATCATTTATCTTCTAGCTCATATATTTTTGCTGAAACTATTTTACTACTTTGGTAATAACTTAAAACACTTAAACATTTCTAATCATTTATAAACAATTTAATAATGAATAATGATATTTTTGTATCTTAAATTTTTAAATATTCCTTTATATACATATACTGTCATACCTCGATTATCGAATGCGATTGGTTCCACGAAATTACTTTATTAAGCGAAACTTTATTTTTAGATGAAAAATATGTTGGTCTAGGAAAGGTTATAAGTGAATCACATTTTCATATAAGTTTAACGTTGATTGTGTTTTTCTCTCTTCATTTAGTAAAACTAATCGCTTAACAATAAGGCTTCTTCCCAAAATAAATCGTTTTTAGTACTATAGTTTTTTCAAAAAGTTTTAACTGTTTTAAGCTTTAAATGATGCTATTGCTCCCAGAACTAATGATTATTCAGGGTAATTGTGTTTGCTAGAAGAAAAACAAATTTGACAGGATTGTATGTATGTAAATGTTCAATCTATTATACGATTAGTAGATTATCACATAGTATTGTTTAACAAGAAAAGATTGTTTTTGGCAATACTTTAAATTGCGGACTATATTATATAGAAGCTTCGTTATCCAAGGTGTATGTAATTTGCGATAATTTGCTTCGGTGTATAAATCTGTATTAAATTTGAAACGTGCCAATTTCTGAACAATAATGAATTATTTTGTGGATTATTAGTTAAAAAGGAAGTTGATCTTAATATCTTAGTTTATTAATCGTATTAGTTCCGTTTTATGCAATTTAAAAACGTCATGTAATTGTTAATACCATATTTCTATGTAAACTGATTATCTTAGGGAAGATATTAATTATGAATTGGTTTGTTGAAAGATTCACCAATAAAAATAGTTATGTATGGGTATTATTTATAAGAGTAGTCGAGTTTCAATTAAAAAAAAGAAATAGTAATACCAGGGTAAATATTATTATATATTTACTCTAAAATTCTAATTAATAAAAGAAATGCAAGGATCTGGAATGTAGTTTGTTCATAGATGTAATATGTGTGATTTATAATTGGAATAATTATGCGATGGGTGTGAACGAGCGGAGGTGGAATGTTGATAGCATGAAGAAAGAAAGAAAGAAAAAATCAATTAGTTTAAGAATGGGTGGATGAGTGGATGGCGATGGGTGTGTTTTGATTATGCAGAGTCTTAATTCTTTCATTATATAGGAAAATTAAAGTATAATTTATATTATTTATCATAATAATAAATATTTATTGCAACATTTATACGAAATACAAAAATTAAATAATTACATTAACACTAAAGGTAGCCATTGCATGTATACCTAATCATACTGAGATGGAGTCTAAAAGACTTTCCAGTTTAAACATTCCCTTTCAAAATATGTTTAGTTTAGCACAGAGGTTCCCAAACTTTTTGAGTTTACGGCGCCCCCAATACATCAGAATACCGCGGCGCCACAAGTGAAAACATTGGTTTATCTAAGGCTGAACTTTATGTTAATATATCAGAATTTTTGCTTTTCGTGGCGTCCTTGTAGTACAGCCGCGGCGTACAGTTTGGGAACCCCTGGTTTAGCATATCCTGTAGAACCTGATGCTACCCAAAAATAGTACGAATTAGTGCTTTTCCGAGTTTGAAACTTTTTTGTATTTTATCAGAAGTGATTTATTAGACTGTACTCTTATCACCTAATTGAAAGTTATAATAACACTGTAAATTGTTTATTCAGTTTCACTTCATTATCCTTCTTCATCTCTTCTCACCATTTCCAAACATGTTGAAGAATGATCCTTTTTTCTTGTTTGCACTATTCTGTTTAACTTTTGTCTTCACCTTGCTTTCTTGGCCTGATTTTTCTCTTCATCATCATCATCTAAAGCAGAGGTTCCGAAACTTTTTTTGTGTCGTAGACCCCCTACTTACCTGATATTGATTTTTTGTAAATTTATTATTTATATTGGGACATCTTTATAATTATTAAGATCTTTGCTCTGAGACTGCGCGTATGCTTGTAACAAGATGATACTGGTATATCATTATGTGCAGGTTTTTACAAGTTCAAAATGTATTGCGACCACAAAGCGAATGCCTACATCTTACAACTTGCACAATTTTATAAACATATATAATAGATACTATCAGTGTATGTTGAGATCCACTGTCGTGGACCCCCATTTTCGTTTTATGGATCCCCAAATTTTTCTTTTGCTGACGTAGACCCCTTGCAGGTTGTCATAGACTCTTGGAGGTCGAAAGACCACTTTGGGAATAACTGATCTAAACTAAACTTTTTCGCTTTTTTCTTTCTTCGGCTTCTTCCTTGATTTGATTGGAAATTCTTAATAGTGATATAAAAAAAGATATAAATTTCTATATTCAATAAGTACAAAAATGTTCACTCACGAAGAAACTTCTCAAAAATCATAGTCACCTGGCTTTCACTATTCTTTAATTATTGAAACAAGACGTTAGCAGGGTCTTATTTTTTTGCACATTTCCTGATTTGAGCGCTTATCGTTGCCCACGCTGGTCGATAATTTGTAAACATCGAGGTGACGATCGTACACTATAACGAATAACACAAAATCTTCTGCCCGGCCACTTCCTTTTGTTGAGAGGAAGAACTCTTTACTAGTATAATATGATTAAAAAATGCAAAGTATTTCTCAATTATAGTGGACAGCACATCTAATGTAAGTCTTAAAGAAGACAAGATTCATAATGCTAGTTTGGAATTTAAAGACATGTATTTGAATTTATCAAAATCTCGTAGAAAACATGATTATTTTTACTCAAAATTTACTTAATAATTTTTGTGAAATAGATTAGAATTATATTAACAAGTTTTAATTTGCTTTTTGTAAATAAGAAATAGGATAAAATAAAACTGCGGTTATTTATTTTTATATGTGTAGTAGCAAAAAATAGAGGTAAACAAAGAAAATGTGTGAATGATTGAAATTGATCAATGACTTTTAAGATATAAAAAATCAAAAAAGAATTGTGTAATTGTAATTATATATGTGTGTGTTTTTGTTTCAGAACTCGAATATATTATCAGCAGTATTATGCTTGGTGAAGGAACTGGATTATCCCAGTTTGGAGGTTGTCGAAATGGCGGTGCGGTGTCGAATGGATGAGCTGGACGAATGACAAAAGTTGAACAAATCCGCAGATGGAGAGGATTCCGCGGATTAAAGGAGGCTCATCGTCCAAATAAGTTGATGTCCTCATCAAAACAGCAAGGATAACCGAAAGAGCATCTGGCAAATAAAGAAAACTTTAGCTTTAGAGGATGTAAAACAATAATTAGCTAAAACAAAACAAACCCACTCACAACAATAATAACAACAACAACAACAAAAAAACAAGGCAGAATAACAATTCACCGACTGAACGTTTTATTCTTTGCGCGCTCCGAAATGAAACCTAACGATGCCCCCATCCCCCAGTGTCCCTCCCAATAATATTAAAGAAGCAGCTTAAGTAAGCTTTATTATATTTAAAAAAAATGAATGTAAGCGAACAAATGAATATATTATATTATATACGAATATTTAATACGATTGATCTCTAAACAAGAAATTAACTGAAACTATACTAAGGAAGCTGCCAAAACGAAGACGAAACGCGTCGGCAATTACGTTAGGCAATATTTTGTGTTTCTTTGTAATTAAGGATTTTAATTTTAGTTTCGCATCATGGACCAATATTAATTAGTTGATGATATCGAACTGTTGTCTCACTAGCAAGGTTGTGTGTATCTCTAGATGTAAACTTATATATTTACATGATCGTCAAGGATATTTATTAAAACGTACTGACAATGATTTACCGATAAGTTTTTTTATTTTATTTGAATTTAATGTATTAAGTTTTATGTTCAAATTTATTGATGCGTCTCTCCCATATTTTTTTTTTCGGATTGCAAACGTTAAAACCACACCCGTTTAGTAAATTTGTTTTATCGCGGTTGGTATCTGTGCAATCTTCATCGTTAAATTTTAGCAGTTGGTATAACATTATTTTCAAATTAATAATAAACAAAATTTATTATATGATAACATACAAATGGATGTTAATTAGCTGCGATTACGTTTGTAAAACTAATAATATTTATTATATATAATTCCAAAAAAAAAAACAAATTATTGAAAATCTATAGCGCTCGAATTTATTTATTAACTTAATTCTAGTCTCATCTACTGTAATTTACGTTCTATTAAATGTATAATTATTATGTTATCTTGCCAAGAAAATTGGGAAAACAAATGTTTGTGTGTTGAGAATGAACATGATGGTGCAATGAATACTTAATTACTGTAGGTGAATAATCGTGGACATTTTGTGTGTAAAGCAGAAGACAGTTCACAATTTTATTTATTTTTTGTTTGGGTGTTGGAAATAATGCATTACGAGTTGTTTATAACTTATAACTGGTTTATTTAATAAATAATGCAAATTCTATTGAAAGTCGTTTTCTCTCTCGCTCAAATGATATCTTTGCATTCTTTGGAGGGATTTATATCACCGATCTGGAAACCGTCGTCGTCCACGCAGTATTTGAATTCGTCGATTGTTTGCTCCGGTTTGTAATTTCCATTTTGAAGACAAGCCATGTTAAAATCTAATCCGGCTTCTTTGAAAATTAGAGAATCCCTGGCACAATCTGTAAAAAAAAGTGAAGCATGACAAAGTTAATTTCAAGGACTACATTAATTCATAAAAAAACTAAAAAATAATTTAAATTTCTAATAAATGGAAACTTTAATATGAAATTGCATATTTCTACAAATAGATTGAATCAGCTCATTTATATAAAATTTGAACCAATCGTATGTTTCAACTATTTCAAAATACCCTAGTTGGTGAATTACAATAACATATTTTTTTACGTAGATTTCAATTATTTGCAAGTAATGAATAGTAAAACAGATAATTTCATTAAAAAATGTAATCAAGTTAAGGTACTCACTGCAATTCATGTTCATGTAAAGATCTTTGTCTCCGAGGGAAGCCATGAAACTGCCGATGTTCTTGTTATCCTTCCAAGTGCAATATTTCCTGAAACATTATGCACATTAGCATGACCTGACATAATTTGACACAACGAGATGCTTTTACAATCCTCCGGCCACTTTGACGCTGCCGTAAGTTCCATCCGCGTCGCACATAATTTTTGCGAAGTTTGCGAATTCGGTTCCATGCAAGTTCAGGTATTTTATAGCAGTTTCCACGCCGTACAAATGACTGTCGCATTGCCTCATATACTTATCACTGAAGTCGGCCTTTGTGTCTGCAAGTCAACAATTGATTCTTAAGTATTTGTGCGTGTATTTAAACTGATACATACAACAGGGAAGGTGTTTCATGAGGTGTTCTGTTACCACCGATGATTCCATATCTCCATTCTGCGGATTCACGCACCAACAGTGACCCAAATGGCATTGAAGTTTCTGGAAATTACCCAGACTATCGCAATGCAAACTCACGAAGTCCTTGCCGACGATTTTTGCATTACTCTTTTCCATTTCGTATCTTCTCCTGCTGCACGCTGTTAAAAAATATCTATTAATAATGTTTGCAGTTAAGCGAAGTTTTACTCAAATTACCGCAGGTCATTTTCTCCGCCTTGTGGGACCATTCGTGTCCGAAGATTCTATTTCCGACCTCATCGTAGCAGAAACATCTTCCATTTGTCTTTCCACCTTTGCATTGTTTGGCTTCCCACTTTCCATCCCAGGTGCATTTCGGCTTAAAGGTTGCGCTCAAATACGGATTATCTTTGTCGAATGCAGTGCTAACCTTTGTTATATACTTGAAACAGGAATCTGAAAACGCAATGATGTTAAATCGTTCGAAAGAGAAACAGTTTCGCTTTCACCTTCATCTAAGACGCATCTTTTATCTACACATTTGTAACCCGGAGGACATCGAACACCTTCGCAGCTAACTATTGGTACGGTCACAGCTATTTCACATTCTGGTTTGCAATTTCCCTGTTTTTGAAAATAAAATGTTCCCTGTTTTATGCAATCAGCTTGCGAAAATTCCGTGTACAGCGTATTCTTAACATTGTCACACACTAATTCGTTATTTTGAGAACGAACAACTTTTTGAAAAACCAGAAGCGTTATGATGAGTAACTTGTACATGGTTGCACCCATGTTGTACCTATCTTTGACACTATTAAACTATCGTCTACATCGACTTATCGTTCGTATAATTTTGAAATCAATTGATAACGACAGATAAATTTGTAATCGTCTTAATGATAACAGCTTTTTGGTACAAATCTTATCGTCCATTAATAGATTTCCGGGCACTAACAATAATAACCATCAATTAGTCACCAATGCATTTGTTTATTACTCTGGCGATTTAAGTTAGTTTTGATTGTAAGAAAATCATAAAATAATCACGAATTTCTAATTTCATTCATTTACATTACTAATTGAAAAATGACATTTATTACTAATGTTTAGAACTAAAATGAGTCTTTATTGTTGATTTAAAATTAATTATATTCATTCAGCTTTGAATGAATGAAGAATGAAAATTGTTAAAAGTATTTGTTTGTTTTGTATTTCTTTTACTGGGCCACATACGTTTTCATAATCATTTCGATAAATTGTGCGTATATTAACCCCCTAACTACGGATGTCGTCAATAGACGATGAAACGAAAATTTGACTATTCTCTATATTATTTCAAGATTTGTTATGCAGTAAGAAATGTAAACATATTTTCAGCTTTGAATGAATGAAGAATGAAAATTGTTAAAAGTATTTGTTTGTTTTGTATTTCTTTTACTGCAACGAATCGTCTTCACTCTACTAAAATATCAAATTAAAGAATTGTTTAGAACTACCAATTTTCATTATACAGTGGTTTCCAAACTTGATGTTTGTACGCCTCCCTTAAAAATATTTAATCATTTGGCGCCTCACCTCCCACCTGCAATTCATAAAATAGACAAACCTTTAGCAATCATTTAGAAAATTGCTCACTGTGACTAATATTCTCGCTTCCCCTTAGACTAGTCGCTTAGACAGTTTGGAAAAGATACTTTAACTACTGAAATATTTGCTTAAGTATAATAAATAAAGTATAATTGTTTTTTTTTTAATGAATTATCGTAAAATTATTTCCTGTTATCAAACTTAAAAATGCAATTTTAAAAATTAATGTTACTACGCCTCCCTTATAATTAATTAATCATTTGGCATTTCATTTCATAAAATAAACAAAACTTTAGCAGTCATTTGGAAAATTGCTCACTGTGACTAATACCTCCTAATTTGTAAAACGCTGCTTTAACTAATGAAATATTACTGCATAAACGCCAAAATACATAATTGAATAATTTTATATATTTAGATATGCTACATATGCTACATAAACTACATTGCATTTCAAAACTGTAAATATAAATAATACAATATTATCATCAAAAACATATTTTAATAATTTAATAATTTGAACATTTTTATTTAATGTTTTTAAAGATTTATTTTTGTGCGATACATTTTGTAATAGTCCTTTATATAAAGTCCTATTTTACACTCTGAAGACTAAATTGTAACATATTTTTGTTTTTTTTAACCTCGAAAAGGATTTGAGCACATCTGACAAATTCTTTGTCTTTTTTGTCTACTTTCAATAGATGGCATATTAACTGGTTAATACCTTTCCATGAAATTTATTGTAGCTAATCCATAAATGGTCAAACTCAGTGACGGTTAAACTGAGTGTCGTGACACATTATTGCAACAAAGCCCAACTAATTTCCTTTTTAAGAATTATCAAAGGTGGTAAAATTATAAGTCAGTTTTTCTGTTATGAATTGAATGAGAGATCAACAGGAATATGTCTTTTGTGGCAAAGTTGTTTTAGCGCAAATCTCAAATGAAAATTGTAGATACATTCTAATTACCTATATTGCAGTCTTTTTCATTCCTTGGCTTTCACAGACAAGTTAGAACTGTGCACCAGGAAAGTTAAAAACTCACAGTTTGATTGCTTCCCACGTGTAGACGGTTTTAAAATGTTGTCATCAATCCTTTTGCAAAATATGACAGTCCATTAACGGAAGAAGACAATTTTGACTTAATTCTCACTAATCTGCATCCTTCTCACTAACAAAATTATTATCTATTACTACATACGATGTTTGATAAAATGTTTTTTTTTTAAGAATTTATTTAATTTTATTAATCTATATATATATATATATATTTAATTTTGTTGAAATTTTAATTTGGTGTGCCTCGAAATAAATTTTCTTGTCTAGTGTGCCGTGAGGTAAAAACGTTTGACAGACACTGGTCAGCAGAGTTCCATGTTTTTCTAAAATATGTTTACATTTCTTACTGCATAACAAATCTTGAAATAATATAGAGAATAGTCAAATTTTCGTTTCATCGTCTATTGACGACATCCGTAGTTAAGGGGTTAATATACGCACAATTTATCGAAATGATTATGAAAACGTATGTGGCCCATGAGGGGATCGAACCCGCGACCTTCGCGTTATTAGCACGACGCTCTAACCAACTGAGCTAATGGGCCAGTTATAGCGATATCAATACCATTAAATGATGTAATCAGAGGGAAAATCTTAAGAGAATTACCAAGGAAAGCAATCATGTTCCTAACAATTATCTTTAAAGCAATTATAAGAACTGGACATTTTCCCTTTCAATGGAAAATAACTCAAATTATTTTAAGCCAGGAAATCCAGGTTTCTAATAATAGCAAAAGTATTTGAAAATGACTAATGAAGAGGCTGAGAATTATCATAAACAACAACGAGCTAATACCAAATCACCAATTTGGATTTTATAGTCAAGACGGTACCATAAAGCAAGTTAATATAATGGTAGATATAATAAGTCAGTATTTGGAAGAGCTATTGCTCTTATAAATTATAGAAGATTGTACAATACAACTTTTATAAAAGAATATATTCGTATTTGATAGGAAGATTATTTTTATTATGAAGTAAAAGTGGTCGATGCACTGACGAATCTGTATCCAATCGTGTACCCATCCTGTATATACTACAGGGTGGACCAAAAGTCACGCCTGTGTGTAAAAATTGAATAAATATTTAGTTTATTGTTATTTCAACACCAGAGATGCACCTAGCCAAATCGCAATTAATCGTTTAATTTTACTTTTCCGACAACAATGTTCAGTGTCAAACTTGCCACGAACAGGAAGACCGAGAATAGTGCAGAACCAGGTGAACATTGATCGTGTACAGTACAGTGTTGAAGAACATCCAGAAACATCGACGCGAAGACATTCTGGACATGTCTAGAAAATCACTTCGGCGGATTTTACCTTGGCATTTACACATGCATCCATATAAGGTCCAATTGGCCCAACAACTTTTAACAGTTGAATATCAGCAACGACTAATTTGGGCAACACGCTTCCTGGTGTTGTGCGCAGAAAATAACGAGTTTCTTAACCATCCAATTATGAGTGATGAAGCTCATTTCCATCTTAATGGATATGTGAATAAGCAAAATATGCGATTTTGGGGTACTTCAAACCCCAGAGTTATTCACCAGCGCCATTTGCACTCGCTCAAGTGTACAGTATGGTGTGGAGTGACATCACAAAGGGTTATAGGCCCTACTTCTTTGAGAATGAAGTCATTTTTTGTTGGATATTTGAATTAAATAAAGGAAAGAAAAAAATCAATTTGTAATGTCATAGTTTAAGTGCTGTCCCTATTCTGATGATACAAAATATCATGTAATCGTGTTTTTATAATAGTTTTAACATTACTTATTATTTCAAATAATAGAAGAATGTAAGTTTTTGAAAAGTTTAAACCAGTATTCTGCATCCTTTTAACATCCGCGGCTTGGCGAAAAGAGGATAAATACTCCGCGGACAAGCGACAGCCAGAAATAAAAACCAATGTAGATAGAATTTTATTTAGATTTAATGTTCAAATTTACAATTTTTGGACAAAAGAGTGACATAAGAAGACTTGACTCGATCAACTTTTCTTTCTCGCACCGATCAAATATGCACGATTTGTATCTTTCAAAAATCTTCATTTTCAGGGAAATAATTATTAAAATATGTTGAATATAATGTTCCGATTGATATCAGCAGATATTTCAAAAGTTTTTCTAAAAGTGGAAACATTTTTATATCTTCCTCTTGTGCATGACTATCTCTAACAACCAACTTCTTTTTGAAAACATTCATTTTATTTCCCTGTGTAAACATATTCTTCACTGCACCAAAGTAGGATAACATGCAGTGAATTACGTAAATTGATTCATCAAGTTGAACCCGAAATTTAGTGACTTGAGGATCCAACATTTGACCTCACTCACTCTAAACTCGTCAATTATTGCAGAAAACATAAAAAAAAGTTCCCAAAATGGTTTTGTCCGATCGTAAATTGAAGTTGCCTGAGATTGCTGACACCCTTTTTTGTAGACGAGAGGAAACCTTACATAGGGACCACAAGAGGTGTCGTGGTACTGTGGTATTCTTACCTCACTACCTTACCTTTCCCCTTCTTCATCAGCATCCAGGTCCGGTGTTTTTACACGTCTCTGCATTGCAGATTGTCTGAGCAAGCTCTTCGCTTCTACGTGTGTCCACTATCACTTTCTTCCCTTTCTCTCTCCATCCTTCGCTCGTCATTTTCTTAATAGATAAAACTTAACTTGTGATGATGTCCCACTTCTCTTGGCTCTTCAGCATCTCGCCAACAAACTTCTCCGGTTCCAACACTTCTCCGAGATTTGATTCCGCCTCGTGCTTCATCGTCGCCCATCTGCAGTATCCAAAGAGCGTGTGCATGTGCTATCATCTTCATAGCAATATACTGTTTGGAGCTGTTCAAGTGAAATAAAAAGGATTTCATGCGGTATGTAACAATGAATGAAACCTGAATCCACCACCCCAGAGTCAAATCGGTCGTCAGCTGAGTGGACAACAAAGGGTAAAAGCCGAAACTGAAGCGTATTTTGAGGCCAAAGATAAATCGTTCTACAAAAAAGGTATCGAAATGTTAGAGAAGCGTTGGAATGCATGTATCACTCTTGAAGGAGACTATGTTGTTTAACAAAGTCGAATATTGCCCAAAAGTTGTTGTACGAACTTATTGATTAAGATGTTGCATACCAATGCTATGACTATAGTACACTCTCATTATTATAGCTACATAAAATCAAGATTTAAATACCTATTTTATATTCGTAAGAATGTCAGAATAAGACAACATTTATTTATATACTAATATAGTTACTATTTATATTATTATTTCAATACAAATTTTACACATTTTTTTTAAATTTTGAAAGTCTTTTTCATAAATATTATTGAAGTAGATATACTTCTGAAAAATTACGAAAAAATGAAATAAATTTTCATAAAAGTCTGTAAGGAAATTGTAAATGGATATTATAAATTCCATTGATAAAAACAATTAATGTCCTATATGAACAGAGTAATATAAATATTTGAAAATGATTTTCACTTAGAAGTTCCTTTTAGATTTATCTATATTATTTAATAAGATTTCCTTTTTGTGGACATAAGTGGATGGAGATTGCAGTGTTATGTCATATATTTTTGACATTATTCAATAAAATTTCAATATATTTTTGTCAATTTCTAAATGATGTATAAACATATTTTTATTGAATAATTATTGTTTTAATGCGTATAATATGTTTGTAAAATAGCGTATAACTGTTTTGAATGTTGTCGAAAATGTGTGGATGCGCGGCACGCGTGCTCGTAGCGGCGTTTACCGCACGGTGGGGGCGGCAAAAATAATGCGGAACTCGAGCGAGTCGAGAACCGACGAGGACGGAAAATAGATCAATATACTCAGATGTAGCAGCAGTGCCGCAGCTAAAACAGTGATAACAATTGATCCTCAGCACATATAACACACAGATACAACATTCACACATACATCTACACACGAATCGCGCGAATCGAATCCTCAACATATCATCGCGGTATCTTTGGATTTCAACACCAGCAGCAGAAGAAGAAATAAACCAGAAATAGTGGAGCTACAGCAGCGACAAAAACATCGGACAATTCGGATTTGGTTGAATCCCGGAAAGCAGTTGGAGTTCATTGAGATTGGAATAACGAAAGGAACAAATAACGAAATTGGATGCAGATACACGTTATAATCGATTTCGGAACGACGGGGACATCTCTCTCGCAATTTAATAATAAACAATGTTTTCGTTAATGTTAAGTGGGTGTGAACTAAATCGACTGCAACAACAATGATACCGGTTTCATAATAATACGCCAACAAAAAAAACTAGTGCTAACCAGTATAAATATAAATAAAAAAGGAAAGAAAGGAGAATCGTCGAATGACATCTTCAGCCTCCAGTTCAAAAGCAAAAATATAGAGATAATAATAGCCACAATCACAGGAAGACACAGATAGTTTACAGTTAGATCAAATAGATGGATAGACACGCAGACTAGACTATCTTTGCAGAACGATTTCGACATCGATACAGCAATACGGTTTATACATATTTCCAATCAAAAAATTAAAGATAAGAAAATAATAAAAAAAAAAAACGGGTAAAGAAAACGCAGGGAAAAACGTAAAAATATAAATTATATCCGAATAGATTAATAGACTAAACATGATTAGATTAATTATAACATCCTTAGGTAAAGTATTCATTTTCTTTTCTTTCTTTAATACCCCATATTATTTCGAATTATTCAATCACTTAAAACAAAAACAAAAATTAGTTTAGTCAAGTTTAAATTCATTTAAACACAAAAAAAAATCATTTTTAATCGAATATATACAGAAATTTCTTTTTCCAGCCTCATTTCACTAAATTAACACCGTGAGTGAAGAACCGAAAAAAAAAATAAAAATTAATTAATAATAGAACAAATTATAGCTTCGACTGCAAATCGTTTTTTTCTTTTGTTTTCTTGTTACTTTCAGTAATTTTGTTAGTTTTGTTTTACGCTGAGGCGAGGTGTCGAAAAAGTGAGTCTTCCCGCAAAAGTTTTGGTTGGTTTTCTTTTTTTATTTATTTAGTTTTTTTTCTTTCTCTTGTTCATTAACACCATTCGAGATTCGAAACCCAAACTATTTCAAAACTCTAACAGTCTTCTTTTTTTTAATGTTTTTTTTTTCTTTCTCTCTATATATCTCACCACTCCGTTAATTTTGTTGTTTCTTCGTTGATTTCTGTGTGAACCGTAACCAAAGGCTAATAATTAATAATCTGTATTTTTTTGCTTCAAATTTCAGCGATAATATTGTTAGCAATAATTACATTAACATATGCGGAATGCCAAAGTAAGTTGTACATTATTATGTGTTATTTCTTTCTTTCTTTAATCCACGCTCACTTTACTTTTATTATATTTTGATTAACAAAAACTGCGGTGAGGAATCATTAAATTTAAACATTTTAATGGTTTTTCACCAAGTGCAATTGCGCTTATTTATACAGGGTGTCCATAAAAATTCTAAATTAAATTTCCTATACAACCTAGGAACGTGAATTTACTTTCATCTATAATTAAAGTATCTTCATCAAAACTTAAATAATTGTCATAAATTTTAAAGTAATAGATAATTAAAGTATCTATATAAAAACTTAAATTATTATTAATGTTTTACAAAATAAAGATATTGGATTAGAAAAAAGCAACTTTGTCTAAATAATAAAAATACAAATAATAATCGATCATAGTTTTACAGACGTTTCTATTTATTTATAGGAGACACCCTGTATGCCACTGTTAAGCTTACGTAACATATAATACATTTCTATATATTTATGGTTTGCATCTGATAATTATATTCCAAGTACTTTGGTGAGATGAAACCTTTTTATGCGAGGACAGACAGACAGCCTGACGAACGTTTACGTAACATACACTGTTCCGATGCATTATGCACATATAGACAACACGTACACTGTATTAGATAACTTATTTATTGAATGGAAGTTATTGGATTGCTAGCAGATTCAATTAGTGAAACCTCAATCATCGCAGCGCTTTGCTTTATTTTTTTTTTGTTTTTCATTCAAAGAGAAATGCATGTGTTATGCGTCTTGGCTTATCGCATCGCACGAATTCATGTTTCATGATAAGATATAGACGATGCACCAATTACCTTTCGAACTTTTGTTGGCTGAAACGCAAAATAATTACGAAATTCGTTTAAAGAGCTGAACTGAAAGCACTTCTATTTGAAAACGTTATGAATATGTTCGTACATTACTATATTTACCACTTAAACTAATTGGACTAATGTCATTTGGGTTATGTCAATTGAATGACTGCTTAAAAGCAAATGCTTTTAGTATTATTATTTTGAGAAACGTTTTTATAAAATTGAAAACTACTGTAGAGGTTATTACTCGAAACTTGTCGTGCTTCTTATATTTTTCAACGTGTAAAGTAATTGTGACATGTGCATCGAAGAGTAACTTGTAGTTCATGTTTTCACTGTGACAATTGGCAACAGTGTCAATTTAAATAGCATATATCGCTATATTTAGTTACTTATGGTTACTTTCACAAGTTTCATAATATTATAACTTATTTAATTATTTGCTATTGAATTAATGTAAGTGTTCTTAATATATGCGGTATCATGTCTTCCGAAAAAGTAGATCCGAGCAGAGCTGAAATGTTTACACAAAAAAAAATGAATTTAAAAATATCACTTTTGACGTTACTAATAATAAAGGAGTGCTGAAAAAAAAAAGATGGAAAATTCAACATTTACGAAATATATTTTTTGATATATTTTCAAATTGCTTCGAACAGCGCCAGCCAGCCAGGACCAATAAAATGATTTGCCAAAAATATGTCATTTTCCACTTATGATTTACGATCCAACGGTTACAAGATTTTATTCATCCAATATCATATAATGAATATCAAAATTCAAACAAATAAGTATTTTTAATTAAAGAAATCATAGTTGCCAAGTAACTTGTCAAGTATAGTTTGCACGAAATGCAAGTAATTGTAAATAGCTCTATTTTGCCAAGATGCATCATTAAGTTGGCAACCAAAAGTTTGAAGCAACGTTACTGCTTCTATAAATAATAAGCATTATTGACACCAAATAACATAAGTCAATAATTAGGTTGGCAAGCAAAAGCGTTATTATTTTGTTTACAATAAATATATTAACAACAAATATAATAAAAAAAACATTATTGTAAGTACACGAATATTATGTCAACTTAAATATTGCGATGATTGGAATTTTATCTTTAGTTGGTGTACGTGTCACAAGCACATATCGAAGTTATATAAATAAATGTCACTTTTTCTAGACTCATTGAAAGAAATTATTGATTATTACAAATTGTTTATAACATAAGATAAAGAAATTGTATAGAAATTATATTGATACTAATGATATATCATCACCGTTAAAACGAGGGTAACATAAAAACCGCATAAAAAAGGGGTTTATTAAATTTCAGAAAAATAAATAGTCTTACTATATTCTTTCTGAAATGTTTATTCATAATTTTATTTTTCGATGAAAAGGTTTGCCAATTTGTGTCAAAACGTGTCAAAATGGCCTAAAATAGTTATTTAAAAAAAATTCTTCTTGAAATAAAAACCGCATAAAAAGAGGACCTAGTGTATTTATCAGTAAAGCTTTTACAATCGTAAAAATAAACGATTTAAATTGTATAGTTTAGTATCAAAGATGATCCTTCAAAATCTAAATGCACGAGATATTCAACACCTTCTTTTTGGGATTGAATGGTTGATGGCATTGATCTTATGTCCGTGCCTCACCGAAAATAAATTGTTCGCGGCGAAACCATGCGGACAAAAGTTGGTAAAAATAGTCGCAGACAGAGAGGACGGCCTTTCCACAATGCACAGCGGCACATAAATCTCATAACAAAGTACGCTACACAGTGCATATTTACATTCACGTAACCATATTAAATCGCCCATATTTCTTCTTGTTGTATATATATATAAATTCTATTGAACATCTATATTTGAAAGGCGGCGAAAGTATTTTGGACGGCGGCACGTTTTTTTTTATTTTTCTAATATATATTTTTGTTTTTCTATCTTTCGCTTTTCCGCTGCCAAAGTATTTCCAAATTGAAAATACATTGCGCAGATGAAAATCGGTAGCGGAAAATGCGGAAAATCTTGCAACCTCATTCCGAATGCGGCGGTCCTTTAATTACCGTACTCGACCGGAGGAGCGGCACGCTTTTAGAATTGATGGCATTTATTTTCATTGCTCTTAATTTAGCGATACACACACATATCAGAATGCATCACGGAAGATCGCAGCACAACTCGTTACTTTTCCAAATGATAAACGAAAATGTTCATTAATTAATAACAAAATGTAAATGTAAAAGAAAAAACAACAAAAAAGCTATTGGAAATTCATTGGTTTAGAATTGAAAAGACAAAGTAGATCAAAGCGTAACATGTTTACACGTAAAACTACAAAAGTTTCGTTTGCTGTTGCACCTATTTCGTTTTGTTTGCACGGAAATATCAAAGGTCTAAATTGAATTCTGGGAAACGTTTCCTCTTCCGCATCTTAAAATTGCAAATAAATACACATACGGTTTTTAGCACGGCTTTAGCTGCATGTAAACATTTTGTTATTGGCCTTTATTAATAGCACACATCATGCTTTTTCGTTCACGCTTTTTCTCGATACATCAAACACGCTTATCGTTCATACACGAGTTTATGATTTTCGGGCACTTATCGAGTTGCATATTCTCATCCACATTACATCATCATCGAGAATGCACGTTTACGAAACATTTCGGTTCCGGAAACGATGGATATGAATTATCGGGGAAAGCAGTGGAAGCATTCATTTGTTGCTCATCCGAAAATAAATAACTTATCTAACGCAGCATTCCGCTTATTTCCTACCAACGTTTTTTTTTAGTTGTGCAACGTGTCTTAAATGTAAACAGAATGTTTCATTGTGGATATCAATGTTAAGTAGGATTGAATTAATCTACTTCATATGTATCGTAGAAGTTCGATCTCAGGATTTACATCATCGATTCATATAGACAATTTAAGTTTAATTTATCGTAGTAAATGCATGTTTAGTTGTGAATGAGATACATTATCTAAACGCATTGTATTTTTTAAGATATTTCGACATTGTGAATAATAACTTGAATGAAATTCATTGTACAGTGAAACCTCGCTTAACGAGTTTAATCCGATCGAAAATTTCCGGATAGTGAAACATATTCAAAAATACACATAATATGTGTACACAAGTTTTAAAAATGATGAAGCAGGCGCGCAATCCGGGACTTCTCTTCACATCGTCACTCGTTATGCGATACGCCGTTCGTTAAGCAAGGTTCCACTGTATATATTACAAATATTTTTATTTATTATAAATATTTATTCTACCAAACGATCGAAGTTTTCTTGTTATATTACACATAATTATTAAAGCAAATAATTTGTGCAAAAATATATTTAAAAAGAATTGAAAAATTGGAACCAAATATTCTTTAAATACATTTATAAGTTTCAAATTTAAAAAAATCAAAATTTAGCATTCATAGAAAGAATGTATCAAAATTATGTTTTCTCTTTTTAATGTAAATATAAAATTTAAAAAAAAGTAAAGAGGAACTGGATTTGTTCATTTATTAGATAGAAATAGACTATTTATGTTTACTAAAGATTTATCGACTCCATCTATTGTATGTTGATTTGGCGAAGAAACGCATTAACTCGTGTGCAGATTTAATGATCAATAAAGATGCGTTTACGAATTAAATTACATGAGAATCGAACATTTAAAAACTTTTTAAACTAAAAGAAACAATATTATAATATTATATTAATTTCTGGACCAAATCTTAATACTATTTATTCATAAATTTCGAAATTGATTGTTACTGAAAAATCATTTTATCTTCAAAACATAAATTAAAACAATTAATAAACAAAATAATGAATAATATAACAATAATTGAAATATTAGCAACAATTTCTTAAAATTTAGTAGATATTTATGAAATATGAAAATTAAATATGTCGAATTTTCTTAAAAAAAGGAAACGTTGAAAATATAATATAGTTTTTTCTTCAAGTAATTTGAATGAGATGTTAAGTAGATTTTATATACTTACGTGTTTATATTTCGATGAAATCCATGACAAACGTTCTCTGAGTATCCAAGTTGGCGTTCATTTGTTTCAAACAGTAGTAAATGTCATTACTTTTCATTCTGTTTACATTCATGTTTATTTTTTGTGTGTATGTATGAATAATGTTTAGTGTTGAATTAGTAGCGCATGCAAAGTAATCCACCGAACGAATACGCTTTTCGCAAGTCTAATAACTTTTATTGTGCATTATTTTAGCGCGGCAAATCTTCTGCTACGAATGCGACAGTTGGACGGACATAAGATGCAAGGACCCGTTCAACTACACCCTTCTCCCAAAAGATCAGCCGCCGCTCACCACCTGCAACGGATGCTGCGTGAAGATGGTCCGGCACGCAAAAACACGTAAGTCCGATACTAATCCTCCAGTTGGTACCTCTCCTTCCACATCAACACGAACTCCTTCTTCCGTTTCTCCCGTCTCGCAAAGTACTCGGGGTATGCGGCCTTCTCCAAGGGATGCCAAAAGTCCAAAACCCAATCCGAAGGCACGACCTCCCTCTGGTAGGAGCAACCGCCTGGTGAAAATGGGTAAGTTTTCGGATTCCAATGGGTCTTTCTGAACAGCTCCTCCTCCGCCTCCTGCATCAGCTTCTTCGCTACCCTCATGTCACGGATATCCACGTTATTATCGAAGCGTTGCCGCATCAGCACGGCGTAGTAACGGTACACCTCTTTGTGCACGTAGAAAGCCTCCAGGTTCCGAAGAACCCTCTTGTACAAGCTTTTAATCTTGGTGCGATGGGACACAAGTCCAACCAACGGCAGTGACATTTTTAGTTTGTTAACTATTTTGTTGTTATTCATTACCATGCCAACGCATCCATCATGAAACTAGATTATTTATTAAATATTCATTTAATTACGATAATTAATTGCTGCCAACTTTTAGTATAAATATAAAAGTGAACAGAACTTAATTGACAGTCAAAATGCAAGTATTGTATGACACAAATTAAATGTTTTTGAATTAATTCCGCCGGAGGTTAAGCAATATTTGCTTGAAAAACTTCTAATAATTTTACGAATTATACGGGATAATAATCTAGTTACATTATTTAAGTTGGTACACATATCCAATGTAACAATCATATGTTCACAGTATGAATTTAAAGGAAATAAAATAGAAGATTGAAATTTAATTTCATAACAAAAAAAAATCAATACAAGTCAGAGTGTCTAATAATAATAGACAATCTATTAGTAACGAAAATAAGAAATAATTTGTGCGGATATATAGGGTGTCCCAAAATGAACGATAGATTTGAATTTGCTGCCATTTGTGCAGTAAAATGTTGGCAACCCCAAAAAATAAACAATTTGGCAGCTGAGAGGTTAGCGTTAGTAAAAATTGGGCGTTGAATGAATTATTGAGCATCAACAAGTGGATGTTGAATTTTCCAGCAAAATCATCCTAAGCGATGAAGCACATTTTCACCTTAATGGCTTTGTTAATCGCCAAAATTGCCGGAGAACCCACATGTGATTGTCGAAAAACAAATGCATCCTCAGCGTCTTACTGTTTGGTGCGGATTTTGGGCGGAGGTATCAATGGACCATACTTTTTTGAAAATGAGGCTGGTGATGAGCAGTGACTGTTACTCGATATCGCGACACACTTTTTTTTCAATAAGATGAAGCCACGTGCCATACAGCCCGTGAAAAAATCAATTACTGGATGAGACATTTCCTAGTCGTGTACTCTCTCGTTTCGGTGATCAGAATTGGCCCCCTAGATCTTGTGATTTAACACCATTAGATTTCTTTTTATGCATCAACGATATTCAGCCACATTTATGCAAAATGGTCTTGGAAAATTTCGATAAAAGAGTGCGTATGTGCCAGCAAAGCTGTGGACGCCATTTGCCAGATGTATTATTCCATAAATAACACTAACCTATGTATTTTATGATTCAATAAAAAATCACAACTTGAAGACTAAAAACTCTGTTTTCTATTTAATTCAAATCTATCTTTAATTTTGGGACACCCTTTATATAAATTATACAAAATTAACGTAAAATGAGCATTTTTTTGGCAAGTTTAACAAATTTACAATTTTGTTTCATAATGTTGGAGATTTCTAGTTAGTTACATGTTCCTTTTTTAATTAAACATATTGGGTGAAATAATAAGTTCTGAGCGTGTTGTCTCGTACATCGAGCTTCTTCTTTAGACAAACCTTATGCAAATAGTTTTCTGGCTAATCTTCAGTTCCTGGGCAATGGAATAAAAGCTTGCATTTCGACTCGATTTCCATGATTTTATCAACATTTTCGACGACTGACCTACCAGAGCGTGTCTCATCTTCGACGTCCATGTTACCAGAACGGAAGCGTTGGAACCAACGCTTTGCTGTTGCACTCGATACTTTATTGGGTCCATAAACAACACATTTTTTTTTGCCCGCCTGCTTCGTCGCCTGCCCCTAGGTCGTAGTAGTGTTGAAGAATGTATCGAATTTTCCCCTTTTTTCCATTTTGGAACGCTCTAACAAACAACTGGATTCACTAAACACAAAACTGTCGCAGTATAAAATGACAAGATGCGACATATACATCGTTAAATATGGCTCACTAAGGAAAAACGCTCATCTAAGGAAAACGCTCAGAACTTTTAACTTCACCCATTATCTTTCATGGTTGTTGAAAAATAGATGAAAATGTGAAGACTGTTCAACTCGTGCTAAAAATTACGAAAAAATAGAGATTTACCATTATTAATTATTGAATTTTAAAAATATTGAAGGTTGTTGACAAAAAGATGAAACTATAAAAAGACTAGTAAGTAAATTTTCGAACAGCAACTCATAAAATTTAGTTACTTTAATTTTTACAACAATTCTTAGAAATCAGGAAGAGTCACAAATTTTTATTATATTCAACTTATTTCCTCTCCTATATTTTCGACGGTTGGCCTACCAGAGCGTGTCTCATGCGTGTAGCTATTGCTATTGGGTCCATAAACAACATACATTCTTTTGGCCGCCTGCTCCGCTTCTCTCCTTGGTCGTAGTGGTACTGAAGAATGTATCAAATTTTCTCTTTTTTTTGCCTCCATTTTGGAAATTGTCAAAGAACTTTTTTTAATTCGTTATCAAATGGCTAACGGAAAACGCTCATGAAACTGTTTACTTCACCCTATATTTTACGACAAATCGACACGTAATAGCTGACATGGTTCAATTGAACTGCAAGTCAAGTCAAGTCAAAAATTTATTTATTTAAATGTAGATGCATTACATGGTGTTATTTAAGGGGTGGCGTATATGTGAGCTTAAGCTCATTTAGCCAGAATTGAACTGCAGTTACTAAACGTCATTTATATCCATTAAAGTAAACCTGGCGCATCCACCAATATTGAGCATGTGAAACATAAATAATTAAAAAACTGTTTTTTTTTTCTCAAATTAAGTAAATATGTTTAAAATTTATTATAAAATTTATATTATTTTAGATCTATTTATTTGTTTACAACTTAATGAGCTTTTTTATATTCTTCGTGATCGGATTATATGGGATTTCTTGTTTATAGAATGGTTTAATTTGTAATATATGATTTTTAAATAAACACTAAGGTTTACTTAATAAAAAAAATTTGACTGCAAATCGAAATGGTAATGTTTTTGTCATGACATTCTGTATTTTATTAATGTGCAGTTTCTAATAAGTTTGAACTTACTGCAATATATAAATTAAAACTAACCATTTATTAACTTTTCAGGTGCTATAAATCCTTTAAAAATCCTTTATCGTTACTGTTTTTCTTGTTTAATTTTTACATTAATTTAACATCTAAATTTTAGATGCAAAATTTTCAATTGTAGTAACTAATTTATTATATTGTTTCTTTAGTAATATGTTTTTTTCTCTCTATATCATTTCAAAATTAAGTTACGTGTTAATGTTAAAATTTTGCATCTAGTTATGTTTTTGAAGGACTATCAATGTTATGTTCTTAAAGACTAATATCAATGTTTGTTGTTTTTCAGCGTACGAAGTCGTCCGAAGAACGTGCACATCTCAATTACAGATAAACTTATTTATGGTAGATCATGTGTGCATGATGGAAAGTAGCGGCACTGGTCACATGTGCTTCTGTGAGGAGGACATGTGTAATAGATCACCAAACCTAAGGCCGTCCATCCTGATTCCCGTCGCACCGTTCCTCGCTTATCTGCTACGAGTGTGCATGATGAATAGGTAGACCAGTTCAGTTTGAAGCTACAGTAGATACTAAAACATACTAAAACAAACAATAATTAATGATGAAACGAAGAGAACGTAGAACGTAGATCATGAAAATGCTTTAATTAACACGATACAAAAGCTTCCAGTAGTGGATGATTAAAGCATTTTTTTATAGGTCCTTTTTTCTTCGAGGAGGAAAACACACACTCAAAACAAAACAAAACAAAAAATAACTTTTCACCATCCGCAAATCCCAAACACGAATTTAATCACTTGGAAAAAAGCTACATTCCTCTACTCTTGAATACTTGCTGCAACAACAAAAAATAGTTAGATTATGACACACACACACAAAAAAACATTCCTTGGAAACGTCTCCAAGACGAACTATATTCTCTTTTCTTCTCTATTCAAGGCCATCCAACTCTTTAAATTATATCTCTAAATAATTATTATCTTACCCTCCAGCTTGAAAACCCGAACAGGCTTACATTATTTAATATTAAGTATTTTACAACAACCAAAAAAATCATAGTCCATCTTGGAAATAATAAAAGAAATGATTGATTTCATTACGAGAGCTTCTATTGTGCTCACCCGGAGATAACATTCCGTACTGCCTGAATCGATTCCAATGTTTGGAAAACTCTTTTGGACAAGAAAAAAAACAAAAATAAATAATGAATAAAAACGATCGAACTGCCAAAATTAACCGAATTCGCTATCTGCTTGTACGCATTGTAAAACTTACGTAATAGAGGAAGATGAGCAGAACGAGGTGGTCGGAATGTTATCCGAAGGGACACGCTATTTTATATTTATATATACATATATTAATGATATATTATATATCTATATATTAATGTTGAGTCGTCAAGAAAGTTTATTGTTAGCGAGAGAAAAAAATAATAATAATGTTGTATTATTATCACACCAATACTAGTGATTTAGGTTTAAATGGACGAAGTAATATTTGCAAAAGTTTTTTTTTCTTCTGGGAAAAAATTACATGTTTGTATAGGAGAAGGATGAACAAAAAAAAAAAGGCAATACTATTTATACACTAATTAATCGCTCATTATTGAAAAGGGTACTCTTGATTTCTCATTATTCGATTTTAATGCATGTTCGTAGATTAAGCCTTATTACAACAACAACAATAATAATGTTTCTTCATATCACCACTAATTCGAATTAGTTGCTAACACTCAAAACATCGGAGGACGAAAAATGAATGCAAAATGTGTCTTCATTTTATGTTTCTTCCGATAGTTGTTTTTCATTTAATGTATTTTTTTTAAACTCGTTACATAACACTCAAGTGCAATGTTTTAATTGCTCAACGATGCACGCATTTGCATGTTTAAAAAGTTGCACGTTGATCTCGCAAGTAAAACGAAAGCTCCTTTCGAACCGAAACCACACAAACAATTTGCTATTTATTATCGTTTTGCTTACGATTTTCATATACGATCAATCAATCAATTTGCTTTTCTTATCGAGTTGCGTTTCGCAATTGGACGATGCTTAATTTCTACACATCGTTGACTCCTGTGCCATCAATAAAACAAACAAAATGTAAATATTTTTAAAACGCATTTCTTTTGAAACACTTGGGCATGCTGTTTGCATTGTTGGTTCGTTGTGGATCGATCACACTAATTAATTGGAAATGCATGAAAAGTAATAATCACAACAAACCAATACGCGATTTTAACTGATGTTGGTGATGATTAGATTTATTATTTTGTTTATAGATCGGAACGTTTATAATTTTTCATTTTATTTATAATTTATTTTTTTTGGAAAGGAAAATTTAGATGTTTTGTTATAATTGAATTTTCGTTTTACTTTGTTTCGTTGACTAATCCTAATTAGAACTCTCTCTCTGTTTCTCTATCTCCGTCTTTTTCTTGTCTTGTCTGTCTCTCTCTCTCACCTATAGAATAAAAAATTTGGCTCTTTTTTATTCCAGCAATAAAAAAGTTGCCAAATTTTCCTTCCTATAGGATACGTTATTATTTTGTTTACCGTTGAAGCAACAGCAACAACAGAAATTCATTTCTTTTCTTATTGTTAAAAGTCCGAAGTCGCAAAGTGTGTGAAACGCATGGCTATAGTTTTTATTTTCGATTATTATTTTCTTTGAGTCGCTTCTCGAGATTCCACAAACGAATTTCTATCCACAGTCCACCTCACAGGAGCCAAAACAAAACACAAGCAAAATTGGCCACTATGTTATTTACATCATCGTACACACCTGTGTTTTTACCTTGGCTACATAGTGCTTTATATGTTGGCGGTGTTTATACTATTCTATATACTCAATGTACTAAATGCCGTTCCGTCAAATCATTGATACTTCATAGTACTCGTCTACTTTCTTTTATTATTATTATTTTTGCTCATTCTATGTGTTGAAGCAAACAAACATTTATGCGCATATATCGCAATGTGTTGCATCGTAGAAAAACAGGACATCTCGATTTAATTCAATTGTTACTACTTCTTTTTTTTTATTATATTTTAATTGACCGAAAAGATATCTTAAATTGTAAATAATATTATTGTTCTTAAAAATAAATGTCGAAAATTTGGTGAAAAAAAAAAATTAAATACTGTAGTCATATCATATTGTACAATAAAAATCAATTTATTACGTTGGCTTGTATTCTTGAAATATATATACATATATTATTATATTTAAAAGTGAAACGAAGTACTGTTATCTCAACAAATGTAATTGTAATAAATTACTCAATTTTTATTCTTCTTTCTGTTTCTGTTATTTTTTCCTTTTTTGCTTCCCTTGTCCTCGGTCTTCTTGAGCAGTTGCTTCGGAAGGATCACCTCGTGCTCCTTCTTCGCCTTCTTGAACATAGATTTGGGGATTTTCCTCTGATCCTTCAACTTTTTGTTGACTATCGCATCTTTCATCACGTCGATTGCGCTCCTCGTGTACATCTGATTCTGAAGGACTGCTTTGATTTGTAAGCCTTGCTGCACCTCGCTCAGTCGATACTCGTCGGGAAAGAGTGGTCGGTTCAACAAAGAGCTCAAATTCTTTCTCATACCGTTGCATTCCTTCTTCAACTTGTTCGAATCCATCAGATCGTACTTCATCGCTTTATCATCGATGATCATATCCATCTCTTTTGCTGCCTTCTCGAACCAGCCCACTTCGGCCGTGCTCTTCCTCACTTTCAAGTCTAATTTGTCGAGGTTTCGCGCAAGATTAACACGCTCCTTCACCGCTTCGAAATATTTCCTCTCTACAGGAAAGATAGGAATATCTTCGGTTTTTCCCAGCGTCTTGCACAGATTAATGTAATGATGGACTTCGGTGATTTCGACTAAAAGAATCGTTATGCCTTCTTTCGAAGCCCTCGCAGTTCTACCGGATCTATGCACATAGCTCTCGCTCGTTCTAGGCGTTTGGTAATGAATAACGTGTTGCACTGAAGGAATGTCCAATCCTCTTGCAGCAACATCCGTTGCTATCAATACACTATTTTCGGTATCTCTGAACCTACAAACATATATAGGGAGTTATTTCAATCGATTAAACAAACAGAAAGATATTTAAAATTGTAATTAAAAATAAAATATTACCTATCCAAATTTTTCAGTCTTTGTGTTTGCTGCATGGACGCGTGCAAAGATAACGGTTTGCATCCGAGCATTTCGAATAAAGTGTGCAACCTCTTAACACATCCAATAGAATTGCAAAAGACCAACGTCCTTCCCGGATGCCTCTTCAAGAAATAGTACATATAGTAATCTTTCTCATCTATCGTGCAGGAAATCTTGCACTCAGTTAGAGTACTCGATGTTCCTGTGCCTTTGGTGATATCGACAATTTTCGGATTGGTGATTCCCAATTGATCGACGACCTTCTTCAATTTTTGCGCTGGTGTCATCTCCACTGTCTTCTTTGCGCTCCATTTGTTCTTCTTCTTGATGTGCGAAGGAAGCTCGTGGATCAAGGTAAGGGTAGCAGAAAAGACAAAGTTCTGTCTCGTCTGCTTATTACTGCCATCGCCATTGATTTTTAGAAGAATATCGTGTAGCTCCTGGAAGTGACCCTTCTCTAACATACGATCGGTCTCGTCGATTGCTAAGAACTTGATTTCATCCAAGTTCATTAAATGCTCGTTGTTCTGTTGGATCGTTTCCCAAAGACGTCCGGGCGTTGCAATAACAATTTCCGGTCCTTTGCTCAACACCCTCTCTTGTTTCACTGCTGCCATTCCACCAATCACTACACCGAGTTGAATGCCTAAATTGAATTCAAAAATAATTTCTTCGTTCGATTACAAAATGTAATTAGAATACGTACCCACGCTCTTTGCAATTGGAAGCAAATGATTCTTAATCTGCACTGCCAATTCCCTGGTTGGCGTTAGAATCAATGCATATAATGGATTCTTGCGTTTCTTCTTCGGCAATTGAATACCAGGAATGTCGATGTCATCTATAACTTTCACACATCCTATACCTAAAATAGAGAAATTAATTAAAATAAATTAAATTTATAGCAAATTACGAATTAAAACAAACCATTAGTTGTTTCTTCAGAATCTTCATTTTCAACCTCTTCTTCTTCACTTTCATTCTCATCAGCTTCACTTTCTTCATTATCATCAGATTCTGCTTCATAATCTTCATTGTCCTCAGATTCTGCTTCACATTCCTCATTTGCAGATTCTACTTCACATTCTTCATTTTCAGATTCTCTTTCACTATCTTCAATTTCAGATTCTGCTTCATTTTCATCTGACTCTGCTTCACTATCATCATTCTCTTCTAATTCTATCTCATTTTCATCTTCTTCCATACCATTATCACTTTCTGATTCTTCTTCAGCAAGTTTTTTCTTCATTCTCAAAATACCACTTATAATGGGAAGGCCAAATGCCAGTGTCTTTCCACTTCCAGTTTCTGCTGCTCCTAATATATCTCTGTAACCTACATAATTTAAATTAAATACTTGATTACATAAATAAACAAATGTTTGACAAAATTACCTAAAATGGCAGCAGGCAAAGTTAACGTTTGGATTTCAGTGGGTTGAGTGAATTTTTTAGATGCCAAAACATCAAGAACAGGTTGAGGAAGTGGCACAATATTCCACAAATCCATGTTCACCTCCTCTTTAACAATGTCCTCTTTCTCCAAAGTTTCCTGATCGTCATCTTCTTTATTATCAACTTTTACAGGCTTCTTCCCTTTCTTACCCCTCTTCTTCTTCTTCTTTTTATTGCCTTTCTTTGCATTTTTCTTGGAATTAGATATTTCTTTTTCACTCTCATTTTCAGAGTTTTCCCCTTTAGATTCTTCTAAATTCTTACTATCCAAAGGTTCAATTACTTTCTTATTATTCTTTTTCTTGTCTTTCTTTAAATTCTGCTGCATTGTTTTCTTTCCCTTCATAATTTCTTTCTCTGCTTCCTCTTCAATTTTATTGTTTTCGTCATTGGAATTCTCTGCATTGTTGTTCTTAATTTTCTTCTTTGGAACACCGTCTGAATCCTCTTCTCTTGTCCTCTTTTTGTACTGTTGTAAATCACAATAAATAAGTTATGAACTAATACAATATTTACTTTAAATTTACCTTTTTCTTGGAGAAACTGGAAATATTATAGTCTGTGCATTCTTCTATGCCCAGAAGTCCCTCAAAGTTACCAGTTGCATCGATAGTTACTGACTTCCAATTACTCTTTTTAACCATTTTGAAGGAATTAACAAACAAAACAAGGAACACTAGATTCAAAGGTTAGAAAAATATAACCTACAAACCTCACATGGAAGCAGTGACAACTGAAGTACAATCAAATTTTCAACTAGTAGTTTCCTTTTTAACCGATAAAGTATAAGAAGTTGCATATATTCTATTAAGTCTATTTTCCAATTCAAAAATAATATATTTAATTACAATTATTTAACATTATTTCAATATTTTATATAATATATATATTTATTGATCAATTTTAAATATAATCCAATATACGTAAAAAAAATGAATAATTTTTCTATTTTATTTTAAACTACTTATATTACCGGCACACAAATGTTTTAATAATAATATATTCAATATAATATAAAATAAATCTAAAATGGTTTAAGTTTCATACATTTAAACAAGCTATTAAAGTTTTATGTTAGTTGTATGTTGTATTGCCTATAATATTATTTTAATACATTTTAATTAAATTAATGAATTTTATAATTACATAAAGTGGCTATTCTTACATTTATTTATTTTGAATAAACAAATACTATTGTATAAATATTCTAAGAAAATAACTAAATAGATGTAAAACCCAATTCTTTGTAAATATATTAAATTTAATTGAATATTTCTTAAATTTAGTTCAATAAAATCGGGAGATCAGTGAAGTGCATTTAAATTATATGAAAACTATTTGAAATCAAACAAACATACATGTATTATTTAAATTTATTAATCATATCTTCATTCAATCGAAATTCGAAATCTTCTGTGTTTCTAATATAACGAATAAAAGTAGATTTATAAATTTAAATCAAACAAAAGTTTTTAATTATTTGTAATATATACGTCATTGTGACAGTTTAGAAAAGTTGCCTCGTTGTTATATCCAATTACTAGCAACATGAGTAAGTTTATTTAATATTACAATCATATCTTTTACATAACAATTTTCAAAACATAAAGTGTTTAGCATGTTCTATGCAGAGTATATTAGAGTTTATACTATTTTCATATAAAAAAAATAAGTACATTTATATTTTCAAATCATTTCTTCTAAGTATAAGTTAAGCAATGTTTGATGATGGGTGTTGACTATACATGTGTTTTGTTATGTATATAGTTCCATCTTTAATTCAATTATTCCTTGAAATATTTACTATGAATGGTTCCTGATATATACAATAATATGTAAAGTTACTGCTTTTTTCGAGCCTTAATAATTCGTGATTTTAACTTTAACAGCTGATTGTAGCAAATTCACGAATGCCACGAATCTATTAGCTTTTGTTGGGTTATTCAATGATTGTGTTATACTGTGCATATCTATCGAGTTATTCATTTCTTTTTTAAAATTTTGACAGTTAATTGTAGGAAATCAACGAATGCTACAAACACAAATCTAAATATGTTTATAATTTTCTCGATGAAAATCGAGTATTACAATATGAACCACATAATTATGACAGTAAATCACTTTTAAAGCTAATATAAACTAATGTAATATCCATTTTAGACTAATTTTTCGTTAAGCGAGGTTCCACTGTATTAGTTTCTTATTGTTGTGCTGATAGTAATAGCAGAAGTGAGTGCATTATGAGATTGAAAAGACAGGGGACATAAAAAGAAGAAGTGAACGTAAACTATTTATAATCTCGCTCTGAGAGTCGGGTTTTCGTCGTTGGTCGATCCGCGGCAATATTGCAGCGAATCGTCGAGACTAATTGTGTGTTTTCCACTTGAAATTCTGTCAGTTGGTCAGAGGATGGCGAGCCAAACGCAGGGGATCCAGCAGCTTCTGGTTGCGGAGAAGAGAGCAGCCGAAAAAGTTGCAGAGGCTAGAAAGAGTAAGACAAGACAATTCACACATTTTCTTTCCTCCTTACATTTAAATTACTTTATGTTTATTTTTACGCGACATTTTTTTATTTTTACATTCTTTTTGTATTTTTTGATTCAAGAGCATTCCTTGGCTTCTCTCTATCAAGCGACGAAAATAGAACTGAGGTGTTTCCTCGTTTTTGTTTATCAAAATAATACCGGTTGTCGCCCAATTGCAAAATAAATTTGCTCCATTTTTCTATCATACGTATTTATTTTTTTTGTTGATCTTGACTTTTTCGATTTTCATCTGCGTTGACCGGAGAGGTCTTCTCAATTCATTAAAATTGGTTTCAATTTAGGTAATTTAAATTATGCGCATGACACTCGTTCATTCAATTTACTTAGACTGAATGCGAGATCGAGGAACACACTCATTACAAAATATTAATGTTATTTATTTCAAGTGGTGAAATTACATTGTATAAGTAGTTTTGAAGTTGTATTATTATATTTAACCTTCACCAATATCAAAGTATAATCATTTATTTAGTTTAGTTGATTTCATATTCAAAATTTATTTTGCCATTATCGTCTTTTAAAGTTATCAAATTTTAAAATTTTTAATATTTTGCAATAATTTAGAAAATAATAAATTGGAGTGATTGAAAACTTCTTTCTACTTAAAGCTCAAAAGTTTCCTTCTATTTTTAGCGTTGCTCAGTATTTACCGTATTCCTCAGATCTTGCACAAACTGACTACCATTGTTTCCAGACTTTAGACCACTTCTTGTAAGGATTTATTTTTATTTTCCAACAAGTTGGAAGTCCAGTCCAGTCTTTCCCAAACTTTTCCTGTAACGGAACACTTTGTAAACTCTGAAATATCCACGGAAATGTGGAAAAAACATTAATTATTTATTTAGTAATTATTTCATTTCAATTTTTCATGGTACATCTATTAACTATTAACGTTAATAGGTACACTTATTAACATAGTTTGGGAAACCCTGGTTTAGTCGCATATTTTGATTAATTATACTGCTTCTTGTTTCATATATTATAATCCAAACTTTCAGTTCGAAATCGGACATTTCACACTTAAAACCAAATATAACAAATTATTAATAGATTAGTTTAACATGTTAAATGTACACAATCAAACAATCTATAATGCGATTAATTGATAATGCGTGTTTTGTGGAAACATCGTTATAAAAAATTCGTATTCGTATAAAAGTATAAACACAGAAGTGCGTATAAATGAGTTAAGTTGATTTGTTATAATGAATAAGAAATAAAATGTCATATAGTTAAATTTTGGTAAGATGAGAAACGATCTGTACAAACAACGATAATCCATAAAAATCTATTTACTTAATTTATAAATTTTAGATTATTTAAGTATAATGAGAAGACACTACTAATTATATGTAAATTACAGAAAGCATTATTAGATTTTTGTATGAAAGAATGAAAAAAGTACAATGGAACTGCCCTTTGCAGCAGTTTAATTTAGTTTTATTTTTGTTAATATAACAACATAACATTGTTAAGTTTATATTTTGGTAATTTGTTACAAAAAATATTATTATTTACAATTAAATTAATGACTAATTTATTTTTATGTTATATACCTTTAGTCTGTTTTAACCAGTTAGGGCGGTCTTCGAATTTTCACAGAAAAATAGAGAAAAGGTATTTTTACATCTTATTTTCTATCGATCTATTGCATATACAAAATTTACAGAAATAGAAAAAACTCTCACTTGCCAGAAAGCTAGGTTTAATTGTCTTTAGAGCATTAAATAATAAACCAAATTATTCGTTCTTCTCTGTGTACCTTCTAAATTCACATCTTTAGGTTCTTGAAGATATTTATAAATTGATTTTTTCAAAACAAACTATAATTCTTTTTTCTTCTTCGCCGCTTTTTCATCATAATTTCGATACAATCTTGATAATATTTGTCCAAAAACTTAATGAAAGCTAGTGAAAGAAATAAGCTAGACGTGTTTTGTGTAAAATTCGATGGATTTTGTATATTAACTAAAAAACTTTACTAATCTAAAACCTTACAACTAATTTCAGTTTTCATTTTTTTTTCTATTCATGGAACAGAAATGATTTATGTGATCATTTTTATGTTTTTAATCAAATAATTAAAATAATTCATATTCATTTTTATGTTTTAAGTCTAGTCTCAATAATTACATAAGAATTACATAAATTTTGTCTAACATCCGGTTTTAAAAACAAAAAAATGGAGCTGTATCTGCTTGTAGACTACTTAAGTTAATGAGGACTGTCACAATGTTTGTTGTGTTAAATGTAAACTACGTTATAGGAGGGTTTACTGTATTTTCTCTTCATATTCAATAATAATTGTTTATTGGCAAAAATTCAAAATGCGTTATCTTGTAGCCTCTTCATTTTAGATTATCGTGCACATTGTTATTAATTAATGTGGATGCGCCTGGTAATACAGAAATCTAATTGAGAAATTGTTTGTCACAAAGAAGTTACTTACGTATTTTTGTTAGTCAAGATATATACGGTTTACTCATTTTGATTACAATTAAGATCAGCAACTGTGTAGATGCGCCTGGTAATCATTAAATGTGGAATTGTAAGCATGTCACTTTGTCTGTCAAAGCGAGGAATTGCTGTATAACTAATATATAAGTTACTAATAATGTAGAACAGTGCCTTCCAACCTTTTTCACGTGATGATATAACTCACAATATGTGTGATGAGCGTGGGCGGATTAATTCAAATATTTTTCATATGGCAAATGTAACGATCAAGATGTTGACGGAACACCGGTAGTGAAACTCTTCTATAGAATATATAAGAAGAAGAAAAAAACAATTTTTTGTAACGTTTAAAGGAAAGGCGAGAAGGATTAGACAAGCAAGAGAAGAGGCGCACGCAGACATCGAGAAGTACAGAGGTGAAAGAGACAAAATTTTTAAGGAGTTCGAGGCCAGACATTTGGGATCAAGGGAAGGCGTGATGCAGAGGATCGAGGAAAACACGGAAATACACATGCTGAAGATGGAGGAGATGGTCGAGAACAACAAAGATAAAGTTCATAATATTTCTAATGCGAACCAAACAAAAAAATATTTGATACATAATTTCTTTAATTTTCAGATTCTGGATGAACTAATCGAGTTGACCTGTAACATCAAAGCTGAAGTGCACAGGAATTATTTCGTGGTGAATCCAAAGAAACCCAGGAAGGAGGATTGAATGGAAAGAAAAAAAAACTAAACGAGATGGCGTGTTCACTTTGAGCATAATTTATTTATTTCAAAAATAATATTTAAACAAAAAAAAAACAAATAATAATACAAATAATTATATCTATATATAGATAGATGTACGGAATTGAACAAAATTAGTATAGTTTCATCTTTAAATGATAACATAGTGAGGAGAGGAAGGAATGATACAAATAAAAACGTCCCTGTTAATATTTTATTTTTTGAGACGAAAACTAATCGATATTAATAATATTAAAAAAAAATATGGCAAACGGATGGTAATAATCCACCATAGATAAAATATATTATTTTTTTTTTTCAAATCTTCCATATTATTATAATATATTTATATGTTCAGTATAATAATAATAATAATGATTTATATAATATATATTCAGCACAAGTTTATTTTACGTGTTTTTTTCCTTTTAAATTACTTATTACAATATATTCTTGTTTTTTTTCTCTAATTATCGTACAACTACCAACTTCCAAAATGACAGAAAAAAAAGTACAATCGAAAAATTCTACAAATTCTACAAAGTAACTCGTTGATTGCTCCGACATAGAAAAAAAATAGATACGGTTTACATCACTTAATATATATGTGCTTTCGTTTTTCTTTTTATGAAGCTTTGGTTTATTCCACGTTTGAAAGATCAAACAATATACAATTAAAAAAAACAACTTACAATCTACAATAATTTTGTAAGCTTCTTAAGCATCGTCAAATTACGTTTACTTTTGTTTGTTTGTTTTTTTTTCTTATAAGACACTGCGTGAACGTGTTTCAAAAATACATTCGATTTTATTTATTCAATTATAAATAAAATTAAAATAAAAAAAAATAATAATATATATATATATATAATATATAAAATAAGTGCAATTCAATAACAACAGAACGAATTATGAACAAATAAAGTGTATATTCTTAATTAATAGGTTTACAATAAAAAAAAATAAAACATACTTATGAAGAGGCTTCAGAAGCACTCTTGCATATTTTTTTTCCTACATACACATCATATTAATATTTATATATATAAATACAAACAAAAAATTATTGCTCATTCTCACAAATAAATGCTACATTCTTTACAGATAAACGAAATAGTACGAAAGTAGTGAAAACGTGAGCGACGTTCGCGTTTTCATTATGTTTTGTTTTTACCTAAGAGTAAACGATTTTACATTAGTATTTGGTATTCTAGACCGTATTATATGTTTATTATATGTACAAAGAGAGAAAACGAAAAAAAATAATAGTAATATAAATAATAAATATAATAACGAAATTATATATTTAGGAATATATTTGTTAAGTCTAATCGTTCCTCGATTTTGGCGAAACGGGTTTTTAGTTTGTTTTTTTTTTTTATTAATTTTCGAATGTGTATAATGTTATTACTAAAAGTAAGATAATTAAGATAGAAATATTTATTAAAGAGAATTAACGATCTAAAAGTCTAATTATTCGTTGGAGAAAACCTGACTAGACTGAATGTATTTACTTCGTTTCTTTCACGATAAAACAAACAAAAATATGTATGTACAAGAAAAGTGAACCGAGCTCGAATAGATAGCTCGGATCAATTTCGTAAGACTATAATATTCCACTCAAAATAATAATAATAATATTATATATAAATATCTATGAATTTATATATAATATATATATATATAAAAACTCCTTAACATTTACAAGACTTAAAGTTTTAAATAACCTCGACCAATTTATGAATGCGTAAACGAAACAAAAAAAAATAGAATAGAAAACCTTACTTATTCTCCGACGCCCAACAGTTTAGCGGCGTCATCAGCGGATGCAGTGAGCACCTTTTCAATGATGGATCTGTCTCGGATGCCGAGAAGATTGCTGATCAAATCGCTTCCCTCGTTACCATCGGACTCGTCGGTTCTTTCGAATTTCGAGATCAGATTTTTGTTGTCCTTCTGGTTGTCGACGATGCGATTCTCCGGTGCAGAGACGGCGATGATGGCGCCACTTTCGTCGTCGCTCTGCGCGGCGTCGTTGTCGTACGAAACGTTGTGCTTCTTGCGATGTCGCAGCATGCTGTGCTTCAAGGTGAACCGCCTCCGGCAGATGTCGCAACTGAATGGTCGCTCTCCTGTGTGCGTCCTCATGTGCCGCCTGAGATCCTCGGCGGACCAGAAACGACGCATGCAGAACGCACAAATTACCTTCCGATTTGAATAATCCGGAAACTTTCCGCGAATCTCGTTCTCCTCATCTTCATGGTTGCCGCCCTCATCTGGCGTCGAGGCATTCGCATCCAAAGCGTTCTTCGACATCAGTAAATCGTATTCAGATGCGTGCTTATCGCGAATGTGATCCAAGCAATCCTGCCTCTCACCAAATGAACTGTCACACAGGTGACACTTGAATGGTAGATCCGAATTGGAGACCTGATTCGTGTCGTGCGACGGCAACGGAAGTTGCTTTCCGTGCGAGATCTGCGCCTCCCAATCGCTCTTCTGATCGCTATTATTCTTTTCATCTTCGGAACTTCCGGCTTCGTAACCTTGACGATCGTCCTGAGCTCCGTGCTTGCTGATCATGTGCTTCTTCAGGTTGGAGTACGTGGAGAACGTACTGCTCGGACAACTCGAGCATTTGAACGGTCTCTCGGGAACGTTCCTCATCATGAAGTTGTTGTTATTAATGGTTTCATTGGAAATTGTTGTCGCAGAATTTCCATGTTTCCTCAGCAGATGACGATCGCAGTTCGATTTGGTGGTAAACAATAGAGGACAGTGGCTGCATTTGAAAGGCTTCTGACCGGTATGTGTCAAAATGTGACGGCGCAGCGACGAAGTCCACGGAAATTTACGACTACAATAAGGACAGCTCACTCGATTGGGCGCCAAAGAATATGCAGACTTCTTCTTTATGGGTTGATTCGACGCGCTTTCACCCTCCGATCTGCAAATAATAGTAATACAAAGTTAATATACAAAATAATTAATAAAAAAATGTAATCAATTTAACATACCTATTTTCGTCGGTGCCTGAATTTCCTTCGCTGGTGCTTCCACTAGCAACCAATCCTTCTTCATCCTCCTCACTAATCAACTCTCCATCGTTATCGTCTCCATCGCGACGAAAGTAATCTTTGAACGGTTGCTGTGAAGCATTATCCAAAAGCCTCGAAACTGGCACCAAATCTTGAGCTTCTTCGCTCTTAATCATCTTCTCGTTCATCAGCTGCTTCTCTCTAAGCTCCTTCAATTTCTCCTCCAAAATTTTTGTTTTACTGAAATTCACCGGACTCTCAACTTCGTTTTTGGGCGATTCATCATTTTCATCAATGATTAAAGCGCAATCTTCCTCCTCCTCCTCCTCTTTAATCTTCTCTACTTTGTTTTCTTGAGCCGCACGCAAATGCTGCGCCAAAATCGCGTACTTCAATTTATCGGAAATGGTGTTCGTGTCTTTGGTTTCTTCGAATTCCTGCATCTTAGGTACTTCATAATTCGGAATGCTAAGCTCGCACAAGCTGTTCTTGATTGTGGCCGGGAGCAGCTGCGGTTTGCGGCCGGGATTTCCCACCGACGACCTCTGGCGTTGCGACCAGTACTGAGGATGCTGCTGCTTGATATGCCTCTCCATATTCGATCTTAATGTGAACCTTGCCGAGCAGTGTTCGCAGGAGAACGGTCTTTCTGTGCGGTAACGTCTTTGTTTTTGTTTCGGCATCAAAACTCCGTTCTTGATGACCATCTTAACGCTGTTGGGAGATTGCAGCATTTCCGGTTTCGGTTGCACCACAGGACTTTTCAGTTTCATGTTATCGCTGTAGTTGTTTTCGATGTTCAAGGAGAGCGGTTGAATATCCTCGTGATTCTTTGATTTCGATTCGGAATGTTTCATGTTGAAACCAGGGAATTGGTTGGGTTGATAGAGATTTTTAAGACGTTCGGCGAAATCCATGCTACCAATCATACTACCACCGCACAACTGCAATCTCTGAAGACGTTCTTTCATTTCAGAATCTTGCATTAATGGAGGTTGAGTAAAGAGTAATGGATTAATTGGGAATGCAGGCCAATTCGGGAAGCTGTTACGGTAAAATATTTGCGAGGCGTAAAGCGCTGCATGAGGATCAATTTTCGGAGTGTTTTTCAGCAATTGCTGCGTCAGGATTTCACTCACATTCAAAGCTTCTCCGTTCTTTTTAGTGAGATCTTCGGCCGACTCCTTTTCGTCGCCCTTCTTCTTGCTCAAGTCCAAAACTAAATCCATTGGCTCATCATTATCATCATCGTCTTCATCCGAATACTCGTACTCGGGTATTTCCTTGAGCGTCTGTAAATTTTTAACCTGAATCTTCGGGTTGACTTTGTGAGGAGTCGAGGTGTTTGTGAATTTCGGCGTGAAATTCATTAGCGGATTGAGATGAGGCGAGATCGATTCTGTCGGTCGGATCATTTCGCTAATACTTTGAAACGGCATGACTTTGCTTGGAAGGATATCCGGTTTTTGGATATCTGGGAAGGCCGGAATTTTTGGTGTGGAGCTGCGCATCTTCTCTGGCGCCAAATCCATGGAATCGATAGAATTGGTGCTGCTGTTAAGCTTCTTCATTTCCATCTGTTTAGTGATATCCTCATTGGTAGGGTCTTCGGAGGGATGGTAAATGATAGATTTTTTGATTTCTTCGCGGGTGCTTTTCGCGTGGCGATTCCTAAGGTGCCTTTCACAATTCGCTTTGGTGGTGAAGGCGTAATTACAGATGCCGCACTCGTACGGACGGTCACCGTTATGGGTGCGCATGTGACGGATTAAGGCGGCCTTATCAATCGAAGAATGCGGGCACATGTTGCATCTGTAGGTGCCGTTGTTCGTGCTGTTCAAATGCGTGCGGTTGTGGCCCTTGAGAGCCCTCAAATTTGGAAATACCGCTGTGCAGAGGCGACACGGAAACTCACCGCGAAGCTTCATCCTTCTGAACTCTTGGGCGAAGACATCTTGTGATTCCTCCTCCTCCGTCCTGTCGCTATCATTTAACTGTGCTATTTCTGCAGTTTTATTTTGAAGCTGCTGCAGAAGACTGCCGTTCGTCGTCAACGAGATGATGGATTGGATATCGGCGAGGTCTTTGCTGTTATCTATGGATTTCATGGTTTCTAACAGACGCTGCTGTAATTTGATGGGCGAATCGCCGTAAGCAGAAGCTTTCTCCGAAGAGTTATCTTGAAGGTCTAAGCGCGAAAAGAAATCGCTGCGACGGATCTCGTTCTCGTTGAACCGCGACTTGTCCATGGAGTTTTCGCTGCCGCCGCAGCTCAGATCGAGACTGCCGCAATCTTTGGTGTGGATGTCGAGGGACTTTTCGCAGGGGAAAGCCCGGGAGCACTTCGCGCACTGAAACTTCAGACCGGGAGTTGCCTTGTGCAGATTCTTCTCGCATTCGGCGCGCGCGATGTGCGGAAATTTCTCGCTGCTGAAGTCGACAAACGTTAAATCTTTGAAACCGACGACGGAACTCTTCTTGCCGTTCTCTCCATCGACGTGGACGGTGTTTCTATGAAAATTGAGAATCTTGTGGTTCTTGAAGATCTGATTGCACTGGTGACATTTAGCAGGATAATCGGGATGGTTATCTTCCAGATGCATTTCGAGAGCTTTCGGAGTGCTGAAGTCGTCACGATCGCAGACCAAACACTTGAAGGTGTCCTCCAGGTGCGGACGTTTCCTCGGCAATTTGTAACTGTCATCTTCCAGCTTCCTTTTGCCTTCGTAACGATCGATCTTATTATTGTTGAATTCGATTCCTTTTGAACCAGAACTGGTATTGCTGTCGGTACTTCCATCCGATTCATAGTTCTCCGTCTTATGCGTCCTCATATGTCTATGCATGTTGCCGTTCGTCGTGAACGTGTCACCGCAATATTTGCACGTGAATGGTCTCTCGCCGCTGTGCACCAAAACGTGCCTATCCAGACTCGAACTAGAGCTCAACACTTTGAAGCAGATCTTGCAGGTGTAACCCTTCTCCGGATCTTGCGTCTCCGTATCGTTATTGTGACACCTTATGTGAAGTGTGAATTCATGCTGGGAGGTGAGCATCGTCTCGCAGATCGGACAAAAGTATTTTTTATCCGGAGAACTGCAATCCGATCTGTTATCGCCGGAATCATTGTCGTGCGTCCTGCAAGAAGTCTCCTCCGTGCAGGTGGTGTTGCTTGTGGCCGAGAAAATACCCGAATCACTTTGGTTGATCTCTTTGGTTAATGGTTCATCCATCCTTGTTTCTGCAACAACAACAAAAAATCATCGAATCAGTTACAAGAAACGAGATAAAATCAAACTCAAGAATAAACTTATTCCGTTAACCAAATTCATTAGGTGGTTAACGTCCGGACGAAAGAACCATACAGTATTATCTGCAGTTTGTGTTTAACAGTTTTGTTAATTCCGATGCGGAAAACCGCTTCCTTTCGTTTACGAACGAAATAAATACAATATAAATCAAGATACTCACCATCAATTTTTTCCTGTGAGCCGCAGCCGAATTGTCTTGGGGGCATGCAGAGTACACCTTGCATTTCGAAATCACTAAAGTCTGCAAATAAAAAACCGAAAATAAATAAACAAATATTAGATGAAGTTAGCGCATCGCCAATACACACGCAAGAGCTGAACTGAAGGGAATAGGGAATGAACGATATTCGGAATGATTCCGCAGCATGGATTTTATGATAAACCGATACCGAGATAAAACCTGCATCTGCGTATACAAATAACATACAATTTATTTGTATCTGCGGCAGATGAAACCTCTCCGCTTCACTCTTCTTCTCTTCGTGTGTTTGTTGTATCTCCTCTTTTTTTCTCACTCCACCTTTTTTCTTCTTAACATCTTCATTTCTTTAATATCTGTGTATACATATATGCACGCGTTTGTAATTCCGATCTGTTCCTCTATTAATTCCGATCTGTTCCTCTATATATATATATGTGTGTGTGTGTATGTATGTATACTTTGTATTTTTAATAATACCAGAAATCGCCCACATCTCTTTGCCAGATAAAGACAACCGTATAACGGTGGCGGAGGATACAAATTACGTGTAATATGTTCGGCGCGGAGACGAGCATATGTTCACTTCGGTTCGTTTCCACCTGCCCACGGTGAAACACAAGGGTTCCAAAACCACCTGCTTGACGCGTGCTACTCTCTTTTTTATTATTATTTTGAAAAACCCGAACGGAGAGAGAGAAAGATGACGGTACATAAAAAAGAAGGATTGAATAAACGGTCAGCGCGCTGCACGAAGCCAACGAGATTTACAAGACCAGCTGATTTTAACATCCACAAAGGCAAAAAGAAAATACACTGTTCCATATTAATTACTAAATAATAACAAGATCGTTACTCAAATATCAGTAACAAAATACAAATCCAATTATAAATAAGTTACACAGTTGTAATTGAAAAATATTGAAATTTGAGTTAACTCTCTTCCACTTCTAATAATAATTTAATTAATTAGAGTGGAATTATGAGGTTGCAGTTTTCGAATTTATACACAGAATTAATAATGCTCTATGAAAATAACGATTTCCAGACCGTTCACTTCTTGTTATTTTATTTCGGGTATTAAGCAATCCGTTAATTACTAATAAATTAGCTACTTTTACTGACTTCGCTCGTCGCCTGTTTGTGTGTGTGTGTGTAGTGTGCATTTATGGTCTGGCGACGATGGATCTCATCATATCATCTTAAATGAAGAAAGCGTAGCTACACAAGTCATATCATAATCATACTAATTCATATGTTTATGCAATTATTAAACTAGCACAGCGTTTTTTTATAGACTCCGTTCGCTTCGAAGCGTTTACAAAATCCGATTGTTTCCAATTACGAAAATAAAATCATCAAAAATTTCCAAAAAAAAAAAATATCAAAGGATGTAGGAAAAGAGTTTGCTACAGTTTGCCTGGTGTTACATGTTTGCTCTGCTCAAAATTTTATCAAATGGTTGGGACGATAACCGTACGAAAAAAAATTGTTATCCAGATAACTGGATCCAACCGTTTCGCCACGATCTCCCCTCAATAAATGTATATGTATCTCTTTCTATTCACGGATTCGGATTTATATTATAGATGATGCTGATGTGTGTGTGTGTGTACATGGAAAATAGGAGTTGAATGGAGATGGAGAATGGAAACCTTGCGTTTCGTATGATTTTTTTTTATATAGTTACAAGAATAATGAGATCTTCGTTACGGTTACGTTAAGATGAAGCATTCGGGGAGATTTCATTAGAGTCTGCGTTTGGTCACGCGAGGTTGGCGATACACCAACTTCTCCTCCTCCTCAACATCTTCTCCTTTCGTTATACTTGTTATTGTTGTTATTATTAACGGAAGCGCATTGTCTCGTTAAGAGAAGAGAGAAGAACGTTGCACGGAATTAATGATATTTAAAAAAAAAGATCTTATACGAATTAAATGATATTAAAAAGATGAAACTAATAAATGTATTAAGAGAAGAAATTAAAGCTGTTAAGAGGAAGAAGTAATGAAATTTGAAGAGGTGTAGTAAACAAGAAGTGTCATTATCTAAATACACGTTTGAATGGCAAAGTTTGCTTTAGCTCAGACGATGGTAAACAAAGGCGCGCAGCATTTTTAAACCGAAATCTGATAATTATTGGAATGATATATATTTAATAAATATTGAAAAAGGAGAATCGTTGTACGTGATGTTGTGATGCGTGTACCAAAAACCGATTTCTGGGTTTATTAAACTCGAAATAAATACACACAAAAAATTGTTTGTAATTCATCATCGACATCACCTTTCATCCTACGTCCAGTTCACAAATATTTATGTACGTCGATAATCGCATTCCAAATACGATTGGATGTTTGAAAAGAGAAAAGTGAACATGCATCGAGGCACGGGTTTCAAAAGATCCGTTTTATCGGATAAGTTTGAACGCACATCTAATTACGGATCTCGATGGAGGAAATACAACAACAAAAATAAAATAAAACATCTAAAGCTAATCTTACTTTATCGACGAATTGGTATGTAAACACCGGCGTCGGCTTTGGCACGGATTTTCCGAGAGATTCGATGTTACAAAACATTTCTCGAAATCGTTCGAACGTCGCGCGCGCTCCGAATACAAAATCAATGAAAACCTAATTTTTGAATATTAAGATGAAAATGATAAATAATTTAATGTCACCTCCTTTCCAACCAATTTCCACATAATAAGAAAAATTCTGGAATTTTATCTTTCTTTCCATGATGAATTATGGATTATGTATTCCATTCATTTATTTATCCATCCATGTACATGGGTTTTCCTCTCCCGACACGCAGTCCCATATAATTGATGGACTGTTTTACTTCCAGCCGCGTGCACGGACGGACAGATTGATGGAGAGAAAGAGTGAGGGTTTTCTTTTTTTTTTTGGAAAATCGATGGTGGCGCCATTAATATTTCAGCCGTTTCCATTAAAAGCGAAAACAAAACAACGGAAAGAAGAGTTAAAGGCGCCGCAACTTTTCACTTCCAGCTACAAACTTATCCCATTAATTAAATTTTCACATAATATCGACATTGGACTCGAAGCGTAACTCTTCATTGAAAACCGTTCAAAGGTCGTCGGAAAGCGATGAATTATTTAGAAAATTTGATTTATACAACGATGAAAATGCTGATGAAACATAAACGATTTCTTGAAATGATGGTTGGAAATAATTAGTTTTTAATTGAATTTAAAGTTTGGTGAAATGCGATTTCCGAAAAATTGACAAGAAATTTGTTTTATGTTCAGATGCACTTTTTAATTAAATTCGAAGTTTTGTTAAAGAATGAAAAGTTTAATTGGATTGAGAATGTCCGTGCGAGAGGGAAATTGCAAGGTGTTCGTTTCGTTTCTATTTATTATTAAGTGTTTGTGTATGTAAGAAAAGAAAATGATCAGCTCTTTCAAAAAGATTTGCTTATTAAACCGTTTAATTGCGTTTACGCAACGCAAAACGAATTCCTTTATTATAAAGCTAATAACGATGTAACGTTTTCTATTTGGCTGGAGTTGAAAAAGTAATGGAAGAATAAGAGGGAATACGTCGGGTGCTAATGTCGATGATTGCGGATGTTAAGAATGGTCTTGGTGGTGTTAATTAGGAGGAAAACCTGTGCGTTTCCAATGGAGCGTGTATTCTTGTGGTCTCAGTTGGATGAAGTGCGTGATGAGGAGGATTAGGGCGTTCGAGGAAGAGATTGATGAGGCGACGTAGGAGGAGGAGGAAGAGGTGGAGACGGTGGGAGGGCGGAAGGGCAGGGGTTGCGGGGGCGGTGGCGGCGGTGGGAGTGCCGCGGATCTCGCGAGAGCAGGCGGGCCAAGATGGCGCCGCCACCTGCTTATTGATCTCCCGCTTCTGTACCTGCCGTCTCCATGGTTACACACACATCACACACAGACACCTGCCTTGCTCACTCACCCCTCGCACCGGAGCCACCGCCGCCGTCGACGCCCAGCGCCGCGCCGCCACCCCTCTCGACACACACCATACATCATATCCGGACAATGGGAACATAAAGCCATACACATTTCCTCGGAATTATTCATGCTATTCGTTTCCAATAGCAACGAAATCTCAGTTGATCCTCCACTTGCCACAACGGCCATCTTGTCAAATTTTCCAACCTTGACAGTTACGAAAAATTAATCGGAGGAGATAGAGAGAGAGAATTGATCCATCCGAAGGCGAAGCGTAACAAAAGCGATAAATTAGCGTTTCAAAGGTGAATGTATGAAGGGAAGAAGGATGTTGATGATGAACGACGTTTGGCTTCTGGATTTCATTTTTTTTTCGTCCCCCCATCGTTGATGATGTTATGGGGTTGGTACAATGCGGGGGGGTGGCACTGATTGTGCCGGGCTCGTGAATGGCCTGCGAAAACGCCACATGATGCCGAAGACCCACCCTCGCTCAACCAAAATAACAAAAGAGCCGTAAAAATCAACAAATTCCGAAAGCAGAACGCCCTTCGAATTAAAAAAAAAGACAAACAACAACAGCGAAAAACAAAAACAACTAAATAAAACCGGTTAAACAAAACGACATGCGACAATCTGTCCGTTTCGCGGAGAGAGCAAATCTCGCATTTAAATGCAATTAAATAAAGTGCAGATGCGTGTTCACCTTGCATATAACAATGAGAAGATTCGAATTACCCAAGATGATGTTTTATAATAATAATGATAAGAGAAAATGGAAACACACGTTATTTGTTTTTTTTTCGTGTTGTACGTTTATTACAGCCCGATACACGTGCAAGGTTTCCCGGAAAAATCGAAATCTGCGAAACTAGCTGCTAAATATTCATGGTGAAATGCGAAGAATTCGGATACTCCGAAAAGAGTAACGCTCATTTTAGGAGCGATCGATCGGGATTTCCGTCTTCAATTTTTCGGTAGTGCATGTTCTCGAAAAGCTATGAACGCTACAATTTTGTTGACACATACACACAATTTCCTCGCTCGATTATTTGTGTGTACGAAGAATAAAAATTAATCCGGAAAAATAAAATG